GAATAAGCTCGTCGGCGTTGTCTGTTATAAAATTCCATAATGGACAAAGTTAGGAGAAGTCTAAGACAAAACCACATTAAAGCCAAATTAAGAGCAATCTTAAATATTTATAAGAATTATTTCGGCCTGTCTAACTTTTTTTGTATAAAATATAGATGTAACTTAACATGCAAGTCGTATAAAAAAGTTTAATAAGTTCTTATCCCGTTCCTCCAAGAAAAATTAAATTTTAAATTGGGCTTTAATTTATAATGGCAAAGCAGACGTCTAAAACTTTACAGAAAGGCAAAAATGCGTTGCCTCTTTTATGTTAATTAAACACAATGATAATGTAACTTTTCATAGGTTTTCAGCCGATATAGGCACCGATTTTAAATTGGAAAAAATCTTTTTCCAAGTAATACAACAATAAATCTTTCTTATGTGTTTCGGCCATTATTGGAAAAAAGATGAATTCTGGGGCAATCGTCGTATGTTAGCTTTCAGATACGGATATTGCTGTGGTGTTGTTAAAACGTTGCTGTTGATATATTTTTCAGCTGAAAATTTACTGCTGATTTTGTCTTTTATCTAATAGCAGCCGAAATGTCAACACTGAATTTTTTAGTGAGACGTCGCACAAAAATACGAAATGTTTGCAGACACACTTTTCAATTTAACAATGGAAGTGCACTTTTATTCAAAACCGTTTTTGTGGCCAAAAGTTTGTTCAACCTTTCATAAATTTTCAAAATAGAGTTTATAATGGTGTTTAGCGACCATTAATTGCAATCGGTTTTACAAACAATACTTTAATTAACTGAACAACCAACAGTGTTTTGGCACTTTTAGACTATTTTAATAAAATTTATTAGAAAGAAACGTGGAAACGTGTTCTAAACGAAGCATGTTGTTGACTCATTTTTCAATGCCAATCTCAGCACTGATAATACCACTGCGCAAGTTTAGAAAATAAAAAATAGCCTGGATATGAATTACAAGGGTTTTGATAGAATCTTGACTCAAAATGATGACCATAAACATAATATTCAATTAAATAAGTTACTAATCGATATTGTATTTGCTTTTTGTTTCTTAATTCTATTCAGGGAATTTCTAAAAGAGTAATTTATTTTACACGTCAAATTTGTTTGTTTGGAATTAGCGCATGTTAATTGGTGCATAATTATTTTCCCCCAAAGAAAACATTTTTTATGTCAAGGCCAGTAGAGATGATGTAATCAGTAGTCCCTAGTTTGGGGCATTTCATGTGAAATTAAATTGATTTAATTACGAAAACCCTGATACGTTTTTCACTGATATTTGCTTGATTTAATTAAAACTCGCTTGAAGCTGATTTCGCTAGTGGTACCTAATAAATAAATGACGTCGCAAAATTTTAAGCACCACTTACTTTAGCTTGACATTATTTTTCACTGACTGACTGATTAAAGTCTATCACATTGTATTAAAACTCACAATATTAGAGTTTTTAGTTTTTGATTTATTAATCTGGGCTACATTGAAAATATTTTCTGTCCTAAATTTAAAACGAAAAACCCTCGGTTTACCTTTTGACTGAAAAGCTTACAAACGAAATAATCTCACAATGGCAAACGAAAGCTGCCTCTAGCAGCTAATAAGCGTTTCCTTTATTAAAGGTTAAAACTTAAAAGCCCGAATTTCCAACTTGTTGCGTGTGGACCGTTTTTAATTTGTTGTTTCGTGTACAGTCGATTAAATCTCCCAGCCAATTAATAGGTAATTATCACCAATTTCCGCCGTCATCCGTTGTGATCAGCTCTCAAAATCCGCAACCATCACCTGAATAATTAATCAAAATTTGCCTCTCGCAAAAGCGAAATTTTCTTTCATGTCAATTTTTAATTAGTTATTTTGGTAAGCTAGTTTTCAGTTTCGTCCATGTATTTCTTTTAAATAAAGTAAAATTTCGGGACAACCGTGGAAATCGCTTTTACACTTCCTGAATTAAGAGACGAGATGAAATTTCCTTTTCCTCTTTCATTCAGTTTTGTTTCAGAACACATTGCTTAATTTGCTATTTTAGCACACTGCATGGGCATACGTTATCACAAAAGTTTTCACCCCGTCATAGGCACTCCCTGAAAAACTCTGATGAAACAATTAGGACAATCCAAGTTCGTGTTGCATTCACACGTTTTAATCATTTTTATGACTAATAAATTAGTAATTGCAAATTGATATTTAGTCATCTCTGCTTTTTATCGATTAAAACTTTTGTCTGACGCATTTGTGATAATTTAGAAATCATTATCTAAAACAAGTTTTTATTATAAAGAAATAAAATACTTATTTATTCTCTTCATGCTTCACCAAAAAACGTCACAGATACTATGGTGTTATGTCTTATTTAAATATTTATTTTACTTTTATGTAAAATTTGTAATCATCTTCATGTAACTACAGAATGTTTTCCATTTTTCTTAATAAGGGATGTGTTTTATTTTAACGTGAATAAAGTTTTACATATACATCAAATTAATGTACCTAATTAAGTAAAAAGGGTAGATAGCTGGCAGCAGTTCGATTTATTTGTATGCATACTTAAATAAATTCAATATTTAGATACATGCAAACACGCATGTAAACAAAACTATATAAAACATACCAAAAAGGAAACAAAATTAAAAATTTAAATGAAAATAAAGTTGGAATTCATTTATGTAGTACTTGTATTTTGAAATGTACTCATTTTTATAATAAATTATGGATTTAGGCAAACAATAACTTTTTTGGAACCTACAAGATAGTCACAATCGTCGCATGCAATATATTTTGAGCGTACTTTTATAAGAATCATTAAAAATTTCGGTGTTTAAACATAATTTTTATCACGTTTCATCGCTAATTATTGGAACAGGAGTTTTGTCATAAATCTAAAAAAAGATCGTTTTAGTTTTTTTCCCAAAACTCGAAAAGTTCTCGTATCATGTTCTAATATTTTTTTTATTATTAAATTATTTTCTATGGACGTGTGGTCGTGTTTTATAAACAATAGTTTATTTATTAACAGTCTTGGGGTCACAACCTTGATCCATTAATTATTTTAAAGCAATTTCAGCGTAATACGGATAGAATAACTGCAATTTAGTTATTATCTGTTAATACGGCTGCAAGGTTTTTATTTTTATACCAGTTCTTTAATGAACCTTTGACAGGATAAGCAATAAGGTCGTAGAGTAACAAAGAAGGATTTTTATTAACAAAACGTTTAGTTGGTCAAAGATCGATAAAAGTACAAGTCACTCGGCAATAAATTAACTTATAACACTGCAATTTGACAAGCACTGACCAACACCATACACGCAACTTTGACTCAGTTAAACCAGTTTGCAACATTGCCATGTTTCTGTAGTTTTTCTGCGGCTTATTGTAACCAAATAATAACAAACTGCTATTTTGGGAGTTAAAGACGACTTGTATTTGGTAAAATAACTGGCGGAAGTTTTAACTGTAAACTTGTAAGGTAAATAAACACAGAAGACAGAGAAGACCTAAATATTCCGTCGTTTATTAAGTAATAATAATAAATTATTAATGAATAATGGAAATTTTCCAGTTTTGCTTTTTAATATTAATTCTCCGACTGGTTGATTTACTTTTAACAATCTTGAGTTGAGATATTTCCTTGGTTGTATTGTACCGAGAAGGAAAGGAATGTTGCAGGTAAACGACAAAGCTCGGCAACGTTGCAAATCGTGAATCAACTCTGCTTCACGTTTTATTGTCATCTCATACAAAGTGTTCGGGTTAATACGTTTATTAGTGGACTATTGTAGAATGTGTGTTCGGGAAAAGTTGTTCTCGCCTTTCCGCCAAATCAAGCGGAAGGATGTCTCTAACAAACCGATTTTAATAAATGACGAGCTGAAGTTCTGAATGTAAATTAGGACGGAGGTGTAGTCCCGAATAAAATTTGATTTTACGCCACCTCCTCCAACTTTCGCAAGACTATTAAGGAATCGATAAAGATATTTTACCCCTTGCATGGTGGAGTACCAAGGATGTGGTGAGTGGGTTTATTGTTCAGCACGGAGGCCTAAGTGTACGAACAAACTCTCCAGATATAACAAAACGCGAATTTATTTTTTTATATAATTATATTTCTTCCAGTTGCTTCTCTTGCATGTTTTTTACACATTTATTACTTTAAAAGAATTCCAGATACCGGAGATGAATCGATGTTGTAAACACAATTTTAATAATTTAAAATACGGGAGAAAATTGAGTTCGACGCTACCTGGCGCTAATTTCAACCACATGATTGGCTTATTTTTCTCTTTTTCCTGCAAATGTTTCTATTTCTGTAATCCTCTGATTCCTCTGACGTTGACATCAAAATAATAATTACCTCGAAAATATTTTACATCAAAATATAAATACCGAAATTAGAGAAGAATAGAGAAATTAAATAAAAATTGACACGAAATATGTTTCAACCATCGTGTTTGAGTAGCATTCTAAAGGCGTATAACTATTTCATGTAGTTATGCAAAGGTTGGCAAGAATTTCTAGTCATTTTTAAATAAAACAATCACGCGATTTAGGTATTTATCCTACGTATTTTTATATTTTAATTATATATGTTTAAAACAAGAACTATATAAATAAAACGCAGCTGGTAATTTGATATATAAGCTGATTCACGAGGAATAATGAGCCTGACCAAATTCTCGATGCAACCACCATTACTCTTCGCAAGTTGTTTTGCGACAACTGTAATTTTGGTTGCATCGAAAATTTGGTTAGTCTCAATATTCCTCGTGAATCACCCTGTATGTATCATATTTTATATATGAATTTAGTTTATCGAACTACTGGCATCTTGCAAATCCTCGTGCATCCGCAAGGTTCTCTTCACTAAATATTTAATTAAAATTGCTCGCATCTACTCGTCCGCCTTTGGCGCAAATAACTTAGCCCTAACTCAAATAAATTTTTAATTGAATCGGTTAATGAACGACGTTTTCTTGTTGCAGATGAAAATGGCACACGGGCTTATATTTCTGATAGTGCTTTGGAGTCTGGCAGCGGCGAACAACGATGACTGGGAGAAAAAGTGCAACAAGTGCAAGTGCGTGTGGTCGAACGGCAAAAGGACAGCGGATTGTACGAATCGCGATTTTAGCGAAATACCGAAAGATTTAAGTTCGGAAATCCGCGAAATAGACTTCTCAAATAATCCTTTGCATTATTTGGGCCGCGAAGTATTTGTTAGTGCGGAGCTTAGAGACATTCATAAATTAAGATTCGTCAACTGTAGTATAAGTGCGATGGACGATACTGCCTTTAAAGGCCTACTTTTACTAATCGAATTAGATTTGTCGCGAAATTCAATCGGTCTTTTAACATCGAAGATTTTCGAGGAGAATCGCAAATTAAGGATTTTGTCCTTGAGTCACAATAAAGTGAAGAGGTTGGACCACGGATTGTTTTACAATATGACACATCTGCAAAGACTTTCATTAGACCACAACGAAATCGAATATATCAATGACTCGGCGTTTTTCCTCCTTCCAGCATTACAACATCTCAACTTGGCTTACAACAAGCTGACAGTCATGAGTCCTGACTTCTTGGAGAATTTCCCGAAAATTGTCAGCTTGAATCTCGAATCCAATCCGTGGATCTGCGATTGCCACCTCCAAGAGTTCCGAAATAAAACTAAAAGAGCGAATTTAATAACGACCCAAACCCAATGTGCAGAGCCGCCTCTTTTGAAGGGCCGATTGTGGACCGACGACAACATCATATTCGCTTGCGTTCCCCAGATTGTGGAGCCCCTTCCGAGCACCCACATCGAGGCCACGACCAGTAACATAACACTTACTTGCCGCGTCCTCGGAGACCCCCAACCCGACGTAGACTGGGTCTCCAACGGGAGAATCATCGACCGGGACCCCCGACTCAACACCCAGCGATTCATCACTTCTAAACGCAAAGTTGGAGACTACACTTGGAACAATTTGACAATAACAAACGTGAATTACCGCGACAAAGGCGAATATAAGTGCGTCGCGAAAAATCCGGGAGGCTCCGACGAGAAAAACGTGAGTTTGATCGTGTCCTCCATCGGGGGAATTGGAGGAGGAGGCCCCCTCGCCCTCGGGGCGACTCTTCCCGTAGTGATAGCGTTAAGCATTGGTGGAATAATCGCCCTTGTGGTGATTCTCATCCTCGTGTGCTGCTGCTGCAGGAAAAACACGCACGGAATGGCGACCAAGAGGAGGGACCTGCAGGACTCCTCCGACGAGTGTATAAGACTTCACGGCCAGCCAGATATGGAGAAGTCGCTCATTACGGACGTTAACCCCGTGATGAAGCCCCCCAGAATCTGTTCAGTGCCTCCATCGGTAAACAGTGGAGGAACGGAAGTTAGCGAAGCTAAAAAGAATCTGCTAGACAGCGACTCGGTTTTTGGTAAGTTTCATAGTGCTGCGGATGCACTTGGTTCGTTAAGTAACGAGATGTAGTTACTAGTTGAGAGAAAATTGCAAGACTTTGGCGAAATTTCGTGGATTCTCTGACGTGATGTTTATTTCAAATAGCTATAAGGAGTAAAGAGCTTGCATACGCAATACGGAATCTGAAATTTTACCAACAAATTTGTTAAATTGGCCAGGTATAACAACGTACTTAAACTAATTAAAAATAAATGTAATGGATTTTATTATGGTAATTCACCTGGAAAGTTAATTTATAGAAATAATGCTAATTTTGTTCTGTTTTGAAGAGTTTCACGTTATAATTGACATTACTCTAATTTTTTTATGGCTCATCGGAAATGACGTAAAAAATTAGAAAAAAAAATAATATTACAGATCACTGGAAAAAAAGTTTTTCGTAAACTCGACAAATTTTTGTTACGGGTTTTTGTAATTTTATTTTTATTCGTTTTATGGGTAATAAAAAGTTTCCATCTCACACTACCCCAAAACTTATTGTACTAGTATGCGTGAGATACCATGAGATAAATGTATTATGTTTTGAAAGTCGATAAGTAAGAGTTGTTCGCAAGCCTAAAAAGATTTTTCGCCGTCAGAAATAAATAGAGCGGAGAATTTTGAATACGATATACTTACTCGTAGATAGGTGGACCTATTTGTCGATGAGTCCGAAAAGTGCAGAGAAATGTAAAAAAAAGTTTCTTTCTAAGTACTAAGTTTCATACTGACTGTTAGTGTCAAAATTTTGATAATATTATTTTAGACAATTTAATCACCATCACATTACATGCGAATAATTAATTTCCCCTACGTTTATTTACATGTAGAGTGTTTTTAGTTTTAAACTCACCCAACTTGAAGCAATTTCGATTAAAAATGTTTTCGTAATAAACAAGTTCCATAAATTATTTTGTCGAACACGTGCGTGCGACAAAATGCTTCTTATAAAACTCGTATCATAATATACTATTTACCCTTGGTGTTTGAAAATCATTACAAGTTTATACATAATGTAAAATTGTCCAAAACTCATTTCTATTGCAATCATTTATTAGTTGATATTTAAACTTATGCTAATAATGAGTTTGTTTTGTTATAGATTTACTCCTAGAGACTCATCTCTCACCATTTTAGGCAAGTCTAGGCTTTGGAAAGAGCAGTTATTAGTTTTCCAAATTAATTTTGCAATATTTGCAGTAGAAATGAATTAATTGTTTTATTACGAGTATAACAATGGTTTCTATCAAAACGCTTTGCATGTTTGGTCAGTTAAACCATTTTATAGATTAATTTTGGCGTCATTGCTTTAGTGAGCTTTAATGTTTTATCTGATAAGGTGGAAAATTTGCCACCTCCTGTTCAGAAATTCAGTTTTTAATGACTGTTATAAAAACCCGAAATTTAATGTAACTGTTGATTGTGAAAGACAATTTTTTTTCGAAATCTGATTTAATTGTTGTTTATTCCTGGATTATTAAATTGTATATATTAAAAATCTACACAAAGGGAACCTTTTGCAACACAACTAATAATGAAGAAAATTAATGTTTTTTAAGTAAATACGCCAACTTTTTTTAACTGTAGCATTTTGTTTCAAGCAAACGTATAAGCTACTTTTTATATCTGAAACAACTGCATTCATTTCATCATATTTTCCGCAGTAACTTGTGTTTCTTGGGGAACGACACAAATAAATATTGCTCCCTTGTTTAATGTCGATTTGGGGGAAATATTTTACTGGGTTAGTAAATTAATATTTGAAGGACGTACATACATACTGCATGCATTGTGGTCAAAGCCTGTTTTTGTGTACAAATTTATGTTTTTGTTGAGTTGTAACAATTATTTTCTTCGCAGCAGGCGACGACGAATCCCGTTCGTTCGACTTCGATATGCCGTCATACCGAAAATCGCAGAACCTCCTGGAACCGGATTACCGCGGTAATCACACCTACCCTCCAGATCTTCTTCCTTTCCCGCCTCGTATGTGCCAGGTATCCCCGGCAGGTAGTTCAGCTTCGACGGTAGCAGACACATCCCGTTTACCAGCACATCACGGTCCACAATCGCCATTACACAGTCCACTATACGACTCCAACAACCTCTACCGAACTCTTCCTTACTCCAGATCGCAATCGCCGTTCGTGGGTCCCCCCGCCCGAGTGCCCCGTCAGGGCTACGTGACGATTCCACGCCGACCCCGCCAGCGATGGAGCACCGACACCCCCACGACCTCCGACGTAGAGGAACCCCTCTACGACAACCTGGGTCTTCGAACCACCGTGGACGGCAGCTCGGCTCTGTCCTTGAACAAAATTGGAGGAGAGGCCACCACCCCCAAGTCGATACGACTCTTCCCCATGAGCCCCTCCAGCTGCGACCCCATCGCGGAGAACGAGCCGCCCCCCACGGCCGGGAAACTGTCCCCGTCGACCACACAGTGGGCCAAGGCGAATGCCGAGGCGCTGAGGAGTCCGGATAATAGGAGGAATTCCATGCCCGATGGAAAAGTTAAAATAGCACCGGTTCCTCCTCCTAAGCCTAAGAAAAGGACTTCCACGGGACCGCTGTTTGAAGATGAAGGTGAAGACGGGACAGAAGTGTGAGAATGGCTCAAACTGGTGCGCGCGGCACTGGTGACTTGTTGAAATCGTGGTGCTAAAGGTGCGGACCAAGAGTCTGGACACAGGGTTAACGGACGATTTTTTTTAATGAAATTTTTCTGTGCCTTATCGACGAAATCGATTTAAAATTCTATAGTTGGTGTACCTAGTGCTTGACCCTTCGTGTATGTTTCCTACGGGCTTCCATGGACGCGTGTGTCGTAGCTTATTTTCGAAATGATAGAGAGGGTGGAGTGTCCGTCGCAGCTACGAAAGTTATGATCTCAGAACCGTTTGTGCATAGACAAACAGCGCTGTGATTGATGGCACCGCAACAGTATTATTAATTTAGATAAACAAGAGCTTGATGCGCGCTATCTCTATCGTCTCGGCGAAAATTCTCTGAAATTGTTGTAGTGGATGAACTGTGATCTTTTGACAGTTACAAATCGGTTAGGTTCAGCCAGATGTAAAGAGCGCTTTCACGGCAGTAGAGCCTTTATTAGCCTGCATACAGTATCATTGTTTATGCGTCATTATGTACCCTTATATTGACTTGAGATAATGGAACCAAACAGACGACGCGACGTGAACGCGCTCTTCCAGATCATACATACATTCATAGTTCTTGCTTTTTGGTGTTCCACTTTTAATAAGAGACCCGAACGTACCCTACTTTTCAAATCGTCGCTTGTAATTAACTACAAAACTATAATTGTACTATCAAATTGTATATAATTACATATTTTCTATGACTGTACTGTATATTCATTTTAAAATATAGAACTAAATGTAACGAAATCTACATAAACGATCAATAAAAAGAATATTACGGTTATAACTTTGCTTTAATCCAACAACTTCAAATCCTCTAGATCGTCTATGACTCATCACGAACTCATCCACTAATGAAAGCAACAAAAAATTTTGTAACCCTACACTCATCGAGGTAGTTAGCAGGAAATTGATCACCCAGACGCGAAAAAACAACCATGTATTGATTTACACGAAATGCAGGCGTAACTTGAGACTAAAAACACTCAAAATTATGAAACATGGATACTAAAAGTTAGATAATAATTAAAGACAGGGCTAAAAATCCAAGTTAAGAAAACATTTGCTACAGTTTATAGCATGTCGTTCACGTAAACCAGGGAAATAAGCGACATTTGCTTAGAATTTAGCTTTTGGCTAAAAAGTAAGACCTACCCAGTAATAAAACCCCATATTTGACTCATTAACACATTTTATTAGCAAGCAAAGTTACGTAAGTTGAAATTTGGACTCTACAGACGGTTTAAAGGATTTGGAATCGATGAAACCAAGTACTAAAGTGCTTGTAATAATTCAGTGTTTGCAGAACAAATGCAAGGTTTCTAAAAATGTTAGTATCTTGGGAAAATGGATTGCCGATAAAATTTGATACTACTTAATTAACAAATAATCACGAAAAGCGTAATTAAAAAGTCTGCCAAAACTGAATACACAACAGTTTTCTCCTTGTGTCGAGAGCTTTTTCATTAGAAGTCTTTTATTTTTAAGATGTTTTTGCAGCACAATGGTGAAACTAGATTTGCAGGCCGTGGAATTTTTGGTAATTCGTAACAACTCAATCCGGGCTCGGTTTCGCCCAACTTTAATATTAGGGTTTTCGGCTAAGTGCCGCATTTCACCTGTGTTTCGGCGCCTCGAAATTATTCGCCCAACTTAACTTTTATGTCGACGAGTTATTTTATTGCAGGCGTGCATCCCTCAGTTCCTAATCAACTCGCACCCCCATTGTCATAAAAATACAATTCCATCTGACGTTTCGCCAAAATTACTGACCCTCGCACTAAAATTCGCATCAGCGTTTTAATCTCAAAGCATGAATCGAAGATCTGTTTCACACACGTCGATAGAATATTCACCGCCCTTGAAATACCATTAAGCACCGTAATAGGGGAAAAATGAACAAGCTGTTGCCGTGGGCTGTTCCATTATAGGCCGTTATAGCACGACGTTATCTCATTATTAAGCTTTTACACAAAAGGAAAACAGTTCGAATAAAGTTGAAAGGGGATAATTATTTTTAGTGGAGTTGCGACAACACGCCGACGAGTGCAAATCTTTCAGCTGGTACAAAATGGAGCCATTAATATTTCAGTGTTTTATTTATTCAAGGAAAAACTCCAGGGCTCTAGCTCACAACAAGTGCCTTTGCTGAATTTCCTATATATTCCATTTCACCTGGACTAGAAAATTGCACCCGACTCACGAAAGAATGCTTGGCATTATCTTGCTATTTTCTAAAGCTTACCGCATTATTTGAGAATGGCATAACATTCAATACTTATTTCAAGCTTTACACTACATTGATCACTTATAAAGTAATCCAGAGCTACTTACTTTACTTGCAATCTTCAAATGTCTGACAAATCTTTAAAAGCTTTCAAAACATTTGAATAGCTAAGGCTCAAGAGAGTTTGGAGAAAGATAATTTCACATTTTACTTGGAGAAACCCTTTCAGCGCTACCTCAAACACACATTAACTAATCTTTTAACGTAGAAAGGCAAACTATCTTTTTATTTGAGTTCCTTATGAAACCTGTTTTGCAATAAATTATGCATTTCCTGAACAAAGCATAGATTTTCCAGAACCGGAAGTAAATTACAGAATGCAGCTCATTATACTCATACCAAAGTACGAGTATGTACCTAAGATATCCAATAAATGCTAAATATTTAGCGAATTTGCTACTGCTGTTTAATTGTCTCAAGTGAATTTCTGCGATCCAATCCCAATCTAGAATTTTCAAAATAATTAAATAATTGTGTTAAATTTAAGAGTGTCAATACAGTTTTCAGAGATAGGGAGAATCAATGTTAAAAGTTCTTACTCAACTCAAAAACAAATTAATATTTTTGAATGCGGTTTTCACTACATGATAGAGCATATTATTTTGTAGTGGCAATACGTAGAAAATAGGTATAAATTAATTTTATACTACACTTTTTGATTTTTTCATGGAAAAAATGTAACTCACATTTTTTTGTTACGTCCTGTCACCAGAGCTTGCTTTTAGTAACTTGCAAAAAAATAGGCATTTTGAATCATTTTTCAAGTTACCCCATACCATTTTATTTTTCGAGCACCTTAACTAAATCTTTCCAATACGTTATATTAGACCTGGACCGAGTTAGAAATTTATAGTTATGTTTTAGGAAAGAGGTCCTTAAGATGAAGTTACAATTAGTGTAAATTAAAAAAGTAAATGTTGGAAAAAATCTTTTTTCATAATTCGCTGGAAACCGTCGTTTTCCTTCGCAGTAGCTGAGTAAATAATCACTTTATGTCTGAAAAGAGTTGGAAAAAGCCCTCGATAATGCAATAATGGAAATTTTTGTTAATTGCAGTGCGTCGAGCCCCGTCTAATTAATTCAAGTACTTGAGAAAATTATCCGTAAATGACTACCAGGAGAATTTTTCGCCTTCTTCTAATTTATGTGTTAAATGAGATTTTCACGACGTGTTGACTCATCCTTGGTTGAAAATCTCCCCGCAATAAGCGCGTTAATTAAAAGTTAACCCATTAAAGAAAAGTCGGTTATTTATGCAATTGCATTAGGTGTCATTCCCGACACAAGAACTAGTGTGAGAAAAACTCCTATTAACACTAATGGAATTCTTTCTTCGCGGAGATCAAATTATGCTATTCAAATGAGGACATGGAGGGCATTTCGACGATTCCAGCGTGTAAGCAACTCGATCTGTTCGCTGAAAAGATGGATGTTCGTTTTAATGTGCGAATTTAACCGGCATAATGGCAATTGATTTATTTCGCGCTTCACTCCTACGCGTTATTAATGGCCCCACGTTATTTTTCGAAATTGAATTTTTAATGTACTATGAACGGTTCAGTTTTTCATTACATCTGATTCATTCTCGCTAATCCATAATTTACACCATTCGACTCCTATTATGACATTTCATTTACCTAATTTTTCTATTTTTGGGAGCTTTTATGAAAAAAATTCTGCAAGGAGTCGCACAAGAGATGAATTCCTCGCACTAACAAACTACCTAATTTGTGACAGCACAATAATTTCGCCGTCAAATTATGTTTCATCCTTTAGTGAACATAATAATGCCATAAAGTAAGTTTTAAAATGCAAATTTACATCGAGCTTTGAGAGTTGTTGACATCGTTTGCTCTACTCTTGATAAGTTTTTCCTCACATAAATATTTTCCTCCAGGTTGAAATTAAATTCGCAAAACTATTATGTCTCTTAAGACGAAATTGCGACAAATGTGCAGTAAAGAAATAACACTCAAAAAATCCATTTTATAAGCTGTGACAATTTCGGTAATAAAAATGCAAATCCGCATTTCTATTGGTAGGTTGCAGTAACAATAACTGTATCGTTATCACAAGATGACAGAGTTCGCGCTATGATAATGTTGAGAAACCGCGTAAATTGCGAAAATAAAATTTTACGATTGGAATTTATAAACCATATGAGAGTTTTATTTTAGAACAAAAACTCTGTATTAAAAATTGGTATAAAATAAACAGTCTGGCCAATTAATTTCCTGTAGCTAATTGGAGAAAATCAATCTCTTTTAATTTAATGACCAAACCATCACCAACTGACCGTCATTGTCCCAAAGGCCTCAAATTCCCTATCTTGCTGTAAATTACTCGAGTGAATTAGTGAACACTAATTAGTTTGCCTTTGCTAAAACGTGAATAGAAAAGTTTCTTTTAAGTAGAAACTAAAGTCGTATTTTTTTTCTCCTGTTATAAAAAATTCTGATTCTTGTGAGTGCCAATAAAATTTCCTAAGTGCTCATCAGTTATTGCAAAAACCATCACTTCTGTCGCTTCAATAATCGTTATGAGGGATTTTAGTGTAGACATAAAACTTTCATATAGGTAGTATGAGTCGTGAAGAAAATTATTTGGACATTTTCCAAGCTGTTTGTGATGTTTGTAATATGTTAATTGATATTTCATGGTGAATGAACAGAAATTTTAGTGAACAGTGGATAAACAAAATCCAAATTATACATCATATTTTATTTGTTACAAGTAAAGCAAACAGCATGGACAGCAACAATCTATTGTGTACTTGCGTGAATGTTAATTAGTTTAAACCTTAATAAAAGCTCATGTAGTCAGCAATAAACCGGGTAAATAATTTTTGCCTACCGCCAAAACATGGCATTTATCTTAATGCAAGTGGAAAATAAAATAAAAACGCGAATTTTGGGAACAATGGAAGTTACCCTTGTCCTCACAAGAGTGTTCACTCTGAAACGTTAGTAAAGCGATCGTATTATTATTTCATCCAGGAGTGCAACTTGAATTTAGTAAAATCTACATAACCATTTCAACTCCACATCATATCAAAATTTCTATTGTGAACCCGTTCTGTAAATAACCACTGGCTTAATGACATCTAAAAGCGGACAACTCGGGAACGCACCCATCCCCAGAGTAATTAATATAAATACAACAGTCACCCCTTGCCATGGTAAGACTCGCGTGACGTTCCATAATAACCCTCAAAGAGACGCAGTAATGAAACACTACACTTAATGGATGCAAACTTATTTCAAAATTAATTAAAATAATAAAAACCCCAGGTGAAGATGCTAATTTATTAAAGTGGCACCCAAATAATGAGCGTTTACCCTTGTAAACTAGTGTTTATTGTATTTAAATGCAACTAATAATAAAATAAATAAAACGGAGGTGCAATGGTGGATATCTTAGTGAAGTTATAAACTCCAAAAAATGTAATTAAACGATTTGCTTTTCACAGTCGGATCAGCCGGTGAGAGCTTTTTTTTCAAAAGTGAAAACAAAACTTCATTAAACACGGTTATCCAATAAAGAATTCGTTCTAAATAATTAAAAACAAACCTTTCCTTTGTCTTTTTTAAACCCTTTTTTCAAAGTTTACCCGAATTCATTTAAACGTTTATACCTACTACATAATTAATATTCTGTGTAGTGGAGATGATTTTAGTCACTAATTTATTGATTATGTGTCAAGATAAATAAAAGGTGATAATTGCATAACCAAGTTTTTACTTCCAAATAAATTACAAAAGTGGTTAAACAACTAAATAAATAATTGATTGTCCGATTTCGGACACGTTTGATCCCGACATAACTGAAACTTTCTTCTCTTGAACGTTGACTTTGAAAATACTGTTAGACTCTATCAACACTTTATCCTTGGTGGGTTCTTGGAAAGTTGGGATTTTTCTGGGGCCCAAAACCGGATCTTGGAATCTCCAAAGCTGAATAGATTGTGCAGCTATAAAAAATTATTGCAAAATCTGAATCAATTAATAAAAAAATTACTTTTAATCCCTTTGCCCAATTTTTGGACAACTTTCCCGTATGTATCCCCCTCACTGATCACCAACACTTGCGAGAAAAATCCCGAATTGGGAACGGGATTCACAAATTCGACTTTCACCCCCGGTTTGTTCGAAAATTGTACGTATGGAGACCCCGGACAACATTCTTTCATTTTTTCATCGGCTTTTTCATCGTCCGTATATTTCACCACCACTTCGTCGACGTTTAAAGTATTCGCCAAATAAACGCTGTTATTAGTCAGTACTTCGGCCTCGTTGAACTCGAGAGTCAACGCCAAGGCCTTAGGACCGAGTTGTTCGACTTTTTCGCGAGTCGCTTGAACGAAAGGCATTACACGCTTCATGTATTTCTTTAGTTCGGGCTTTGAGCCGAATTCCATGGCCAGGACTTTATTGTCCGGAAATTCCTTGCTTTTCTAAAAAATACAAAAATATAAATATCCAAACCGATATGCCAACCGACGTATTTTGGTCGAAATCGCTTATGTAAACAATAAAAACCCTACATCGTAGTGGCTTTTCAAAGTGGTGAGAATGCAGCTCTGCCAAGCGGGGAAAGTCTTGGCCACCCAAATATTTAGCACGTCTGGTTTAGGGACGGGTGGAGGGTTGGGGTTGGACTTGGTCTTGATTCCCTGAAGATAAGTTTTAAGATGCACCCGGAACGAATGAGCGGTTTCCATGAGATATTCCGACGATTTAATTTTGATCTCGTCGATTTGTCCTACTTGAGGCCACGACGCTTTGAAGATACTGCTTTTCTGTGAAATTATTGGATTATTACCGGAAGGTTTATACGAGATTAGAGTTACTTTTCCCAGTAATTTCCAAACTTGTTCGGACACGTGCGGGCAGATGGGAGCGAGGAGTATTGCCTGAACTTCGATGAAACGAACGATCAACTCGGCGTGCATTCCGTCCAAGCACAATTCTCTGTATTTGTCTCTGACGGATTGAAGTTCGAAAAAACCGCTCCTGAGGGCCTCTTTAAATAGCATTTTGCTGTAGAATTCGTCCGTTTCTTTGATTTTAAGGTTGATTTCGCTCTGGAATACTTCGTCGTTGAACGTGGTTGCGGGGCCGCTTCTGCACAGACACGTCGATAGCATAAAAAATCTATCGATTTCATCGACAACAAAGAAATCTTGCCGTAAACTTATGATTTACATGACAAAATTGGGAATATTTGGTAGACATCTTGACCAATTTCTACGCAAAAACTCAAAAATTAAAAGAAAAAATAAACAAAATGCATGGTAATCTTCATTTATACAGGATGAACAAAAAATAAGGAACGAGGGCCGACGCTACCGTCGGTAGAGCACGGCAAAACTGTTCCGTAAATTTTAAACTTGATCCCAAAAATGAGTTTTAAATAATTTTTATCTTACAGGTTGAGTTTTTGAACTACCTTAGACCATTGTCTTTGATGATAGAAATCAAATATTATTCACAAGTGAGATAAAATACTCACAAGTGAGTAAATTTGACTATTATGTTATATTTACTGTTATATTTTTCTAGGTGAATATTTTCCTTGAACGAAACTTTTTTCTTGGATAGTTGCACCTGTAAGATAAAACGTCGTATATCACTCGTGATCGAATTGCCATTAAGAAACTCGTGAGAAGTGTCCCACTCGTGCGCAAGCGCACTCGTCGGCCAAAATTCTCACTCGCGTATAATGATGCATTTCTATCACTTATAATATAATGTACTATTTTACATGTATAGAACACTAGATCTAGCAATTATTTTAGCATTAGTTAGCAATAATTCCTAGTTTTTTCATTTTTAAACGATATTTCAAAATTGAAAGATATGCCTGCAAATGAGATATGTAGTAGAAAAATGTAAAAATTTGGAGAGCATTTTGATCTTCGATAATGATAAGAAGGACATCAATGAATAGGAACTTGGGGACGAATTACAACAGTTGTGCTATTTCTATTAAAGTTCTAAAAATTATTCTGCAAAATGAATTTGCTCCAAATCTCACTGTAGCTTTAAAAATTTTACTTTGTTTACTTGTGACGGTGGCAAGTGGAAAACGATCAAAATGAAAACTAATAAAAACCTATTTAAGATCAACAATGGCTCATCGCGTTTAGTTGATTTGGCGACAATTTCGATTGAAGATGAAATCGCCCACAATTTATAAACAACTTGTACCTGACTTTGCATCTGTGACAATTCAAAAAGTGAATTTTTAAACTGTTTTTGTAGTTAGTTAAGAAACATTTTTTTTATATACCCAAACGAAAATTCAAACTTAATAATTCTACGTTACTGGAAGAAAGAACAAAAAGGTAGGTGTTTTTAAATTCCCTAGATTTATAATTTGTATGAAAATATTAATTAGCTTCTTAAAAAATGGAGGGTGCACAAAAAACTTTGCACGGGTGGCAAAATTCCAAGCACCGACCCTATATGGAATCAAGCATTTTTTTAATGAATGAATGAATGCAACTGTTTTCAGTTACATAAAATGCTCATTGTGACACAGAAATAGAAAAAAATCTTATCGAGTTTTGAGAATAAACTTTGGTTTTGAGTTATTTTTGTTTTTTTGATAAAAATTGAATAATTTGTAGATAGCCGTAATCCTTAGATCAAAAAAAAGTCAAAAAAAGTTTTAGAGTGGTTGCCATTAAAAATTTTGCAAAACCCGAAAACTAAAACAAAATTTTATTTTGAAAAGCGTTCACATTTTTGTGATCGAGCAAAATGCTTCTACAGAAAACATTGCTTAATTTAATTTAGACAAACCTGTTTTTTAATTTTTTTAATTACCTCAATTGTCCTTTATTCTCCAAGACCTCCTTGACCCACTCAATAAAAGTGTACAGCCTCAAAATCCCCGCGTCTGCCATACTCTCTACAAAATTAGCATCTTCGACCGAATCCCCTGCATCGGCAAGACACAACCTCGTCCCATCGGCGCTGAACTTCTCCACAGCTTCACTCAAAGTCAAAAAATTGCCGTCAGACTTGGACATTTTCGCCGAGTTTAGTAAAAGATGGCCATTAGCGCGGACACCTCTCGGCCACTTTTCTTCTTCTTCCGGCCAAATGGCACAATGATTGTAAATGAAATACGTCAAGTGGTTCTGCACCAAATCCTTTCCGGAGACTCTCACATCCACTGGGTACCAATAATCAAACTCTCGTTTCATTAAATCGACGGATTCTTTCTTAATCCCGGATTTGGCTGGAAATGGCGCATTTTTGAAAAAGATGTAATCCCAGACTTCAGGAGTCATCTGCTCCGGTTTGATGTTAAGAGAATTGGGTTTATTGCCACGGAAAGAATTGCCTTGGAGGAAATGAGCAACGGTGTAGTAGGCATTGTAGATGGTAGAGTCGGAGAGGGATTCGATTAGCCATTGTTCGTCCCATGGGAGTTTGGAACCAAGACCGTAGGTTCTGGAACAGGCATGTTCGTGAAGCCAATCCAGACACCCATTGAAGTTTCTCCGGACTTCCTCATGGTACGTATTCATCTGATCTAGGACTTTATGGGCTGCTTTCTTCCAGGATTCTTCCCCGTAATCCAAAAACCACTGGTCACACAAAGCGACAACGCACTCATCTCCTGATCTCGAAATTATAGTTTTCTCCGGTTCATAATAAATAACCGCCTCATTTTTATCAATTAAGACCTTCTGAAGCGATTTTTTTATGTCTTGAATTTTTTTACCCTTGAATTCGCCCACTATCATAACCCCATCATAAAAACCCTTCAAGTAGACCATTTCTTTGGCCTCGAGTAGTTTTTCTCGGTCATTTTGACTCTGAATTTTCAACTTGTCGTATGCGATTACGGCCGAAAGTTTCCCAAAATCGGGTACTTCAATTATGGGAATTGGTTCAAATGGAAGTACCATTTCGTCTCTGATCCCATATTTCTCCCTGAAAGGTTGCTTCTTTTTTAAATCGACTAATGCAGCATAATCGTCGGGAGAATCAGAAGGGACACTTGTGACAACTCCTGTCCCTTTATCTTCTTTAATGGTAAGCATGGGTAGGGCGTAGATTTTGTCATAATGGGTCATGGGGGCTTTAAGAGCGCAACCCAGGAGATCCTGGTGGAAAATAGAATATTAAAGAACGCAGTTCGTAAAGCAAGTTTTGTGGAACAAGTTCAGGTTTATGAAGCGAACAGCGAAGCGCGAGTTTTATAAAGAACGAATGACTTATGAAACAAGTTTTTATGCTGTTTTTCAAATATTTCAAAATTTACAAACTTTTGCCTTAATAAGGTGGTGATTAGTAATAAATGTCACAAAGTTTAAAAAAGTATCAGGTCTCGAATATTTTTTTAAATTTTGTTGAATTAACGATGAATACTACAAATATTTCATGTACACCACCTGAAATAAGAGAAATCGCTCAAAACGCCGCTGAAAATCACCATTACCAACCTCTAGAAAGTAGAATGTACTAGTCTTTTTTTAGCCTCGAATTGGTGTTGAAATGGCTCATTAAAGCATAGGTTTTGGTATCAAAATAACCTTTCTTTCAGACGCAAAATAGAAAAAATAAGTTCGCGACACTCGCTTCACGGGTCGTGCGTTAAACTTACCTGTCCCAACAAGTGCGTAACAACCTCAAACTTCCCATCAACCTCTGTAAAACCTTGATAACTCATATTTCGGGCTGATCGTTCAGTGCAAACGAAAATTTCGCCCGATTTTAGTAAAATTGCAACATATTTCATATCAGGTCTGACCCAACAATTAGTCTGCCCATACATTGTCTCCGGTCTTAAAGTCGCCGCTACTAGATAAACCGGTTTATTGGCCAGTTTACTGCGAATTAAAAAGCATAATAAAGCTATTCTCTATTTTCCGAGTTGTTTTACCTCAATTTTGCTGGATATGGAGGTAATAACTTCATTTTAATTAAAGTGTACTCTTGGGGGCCCACCCCTTCGCCGGTGGACCGGTCATGGTCCATGCAAGGTTGGCCATCGCGAGGTGAAAAAATCGTGTAACGTTTACCGAATTTAATTTTGTTGCGTTCTTTCAAGCGAATGAATTGCCAACGGACGAAAGAGTCAAAAAATGGGTTCACGTCGGTGGTTATGAACGTGCGTCTCCAGTCGATGTAAACCCCAAACCGGTCCAAGTCTTGAACGGCAAGGGGCGGGAAATAGTCAAGCCAGTAATCAGCGTCCGCGAATTTTTTTATCTCTTCGTCTTGGAGGCCCAAACTGTACATGATCTGCCACTGGTACTTGGCAGCGCCAGCTTTGGCTACTGCTTTGCTCTAAATAAAAAAATGACAATCTTTAATTGATAATGCACAAGGATTTACCTTTTTTCCTTTACTCTTGTCTTTAATGACAACGTCGTCATTCTCTTCAACCTTTGCTTCCTCCTCAACTGGAAACTTTGGGGGGTACCCAAACATCTCCATCTCGCGTTTTAATTTATCAGCGCATGCTTTAATCGGCATTCCAGTACAGTGGAAACCAAAGGGAAACAACGCATTTTTTCCCTTCAGTTTATGATACCTGACTGAAAATTCAGCCTTTGACAGAGAGAAAGTGTGGCCAAGATGTAACCGGCCGTTCATGTATGGAAATGGAAAAGTGCATAAAAACTTCTCATTTTCTGATTTTCGTTGTTGTTTCGGAGCGTCTATTTCGTGCAGTTTTTCTTTTCTCCATCTTTCCTGAACCTCACGTTCAATTTTTTGCAAATATTCAACCTTAAAAGTGCCTTTTCGTTCAACTGCGGCCTAAAAAAATACTATTAAACGATTATTACTTAATTGTGTGGCACTTGCCATTTTTAATAGGTTCTTTTTTCGCTGAAAATACAAAAAATCAGGTGGGACACGTTGACATAGCACATGGATTAGATAACCTCACTTTTCCCAGGTGCAAAACCACAAAAAATGATGCAATTATTAACAAAATTGATTATCTGATTTTATTGCTTTAATTGTAATTATTATCTAAGCCTAATACAAAACTGGACGATTTTATTTGAAAATAAGCTTGACAATGTCGGATTGAGGTTATGTAATAAGTTAGCACTTTTCCTCAATAACTTTTTATTAATGAAACAACTACACAAAAACAAGTTAATTAAGATTCTATTATGTACAGCAGATATCAGTCCCTAGAACGCATACATTTTTTTAGTTTAAGATTTCTTTTCTGCATCTTTCTTTTCCTTCTCCAGCAAAAGTGCACTTTTAATCCCAACCTTCTCCAACTCTTCGATCAGATCTCCTGACTGATGCATTTGAAGCATAATATCACAGCCCCCAACAAATTCGCCGTTAATAAAAACTTGTGGTATTGTGGGCCAATTTGAAAACTCCTTAATCCCCTGTCTCAACGATTCATCAGATAGGACATCATGAGCGTCATACTGGACCCCATGCATTCGTAAAATTTGTACTACTGCATTGCTAAAACCACAACGGGGCTGTTCTGGAACCCCCTTCATAAAAACCACAACTTTGTTATTGTTGACCATGTTTTTAATTTCTTCGGCCGGTTTTGTGCTATAAAACCTGGCGAGAGTATTTGCATATTGTAGTAAATTTTTACTTTTTGTAAATAGATTTAAACTCATTTTTGTTTGAATCGATATAACCTCACTTTTCACACAACTACTAGGGACTTTCTTTTTGCATTGACACTTGGCAGCCTTGTGGATTGTTTGACAAGAATCAGGTTGAAGGGAATGAGCCGCAAAATTAATAAATTATTATTTTTTGCTAAAGTTTTAAACAGCAATTCAGGTATTTTAAGTTTTTTCATAATTAACTGGTCGCCTTTTAGCATTAGTTTTTTACTGTTTTAAAAACAACGGTTTTTTGGTTTGTTTTAGCATCAGTGTTCACTATATCGTTGGAAAAACATTGAGGTAAGAAGGTTAATTTTGAGTAATTTTCGATGATATAAAAGGCTGCAAATATGTTTTATCATGTTATTATGTGCATTTATTTCTTTAATCTGATTTACGCCCACGAAACATTTTTATTGTTTGTATTCAAACAGCCCCACTTTTTACACTTTTTTGTTTTCATTTAATACTACAAGTGACAAATTATTATTAATTGCGTTTTCTATGAGACTGATTTGGTAATAAAAGTTTTTATAGCCTGTCTACCTAGTATTTCTATAAAAACACGTGTAAATTGTTACTTTATACAGATTTTTCGTAACTTTGCAAAATGCACAAAAAGTGGCAAAAAGCAGTGTTTTCTTTTTGAAAAAAATTCTTAAGGTAGGTTGATGGCAGTAGTTTTCTTGAAGTACCATAATTCTCAAATTCTGTGTGTTGAGAGCCCTCATTTTAGGCAATGTCTTGGCCACAGTGGTCCTCAGCCACTCAACCTTCAGTTCCACCAGTACTGAATCCAACCACTCCCGTCATAAATTCAGCTCCGACTGTGGTACCCCCTGGTTTGCAATACACCCCAGAACAGTGGGCCCAACTGCAACAGCAGAATTGGAACCAGTGGGCCCAATGGCAACAACAGTACCAACAATGGCACCAACAATACGGCGCTGAAGTATTCCCTTTCTCCCAATTTTTTTTTTTTAATTGTGATGATTTTTAGTACCAGAAGTCAATAAATGCTCTTGCTCAAGCAGCCCAAACACAACAAACACCAGCGTTGCCAAACGTTGCAGTGCCGCCCCCTTTACCGGCTGATAATAGACCGCCTCCACCGGCAGACGAGCCGCCGCCTCCGTCTTACACTTCAGCACCGCCTCCAACTCACGGCTACAATACCGGTCCTCCACCAAAAACAAATGAACGTCCACCGATGCACTTTCCCAAAAATCAGAATTGGGGCAATCAAAATTACCGATACGGTACTGAACCACAAAACAAAAGAAATTTTGAACAACCTGATGATGTTAACAAGCGACCAGTGGGTAATAAGCCTGGGTGGCATAACCAGCAACAACCAAGGCCTCCTCGAGACAATCTCGAGGAATTGTCAGAAGCGGAGAAAAAATTTGATAAACAATTTGCTGAGTGGGAGGCCCAGTTTAATAAATGGAAGGAGCAGAATGCCGAGCATCCCGATAAGGAGCAATACCGGGAGTATGAGAAAAAATGGGAGAGTTGGAGGGCTCAACTCCTTGAAAGGAGGGAGCAAATGAAAAGGAAGAGATTGGGATTGACTGCAGATTCGCCCAATAAGAGTAGACCAGGATCAGGTCAAAGTTTTAATTCGCCTCATCAAAGCTTCAATCAACCGCCTCCAAAAGTATTACCCACTGTTCCTCAAAAACCAGAAGGGCTACTGCCGCTGCCTCAATCGGCGGTACCTTTTAATAAACCACCACCGAATTTAAACGATGAACCTTTGAAATTCAAAGATTCTAAACCTGTGCCAGAATTAGACGATTCAATGTCCGGTTTTTTTAAACCTAACACAGGAGGTGGTATCCCAGGCTTAGACTTGGTGAAAGATGACCCCAAAACTGGTAAAAGTGCAACTGAGGATGTTGTACTTATTGATTCTGAAGAAAAGGAGAGAGAGAAGAAAGGGCCTGATTTTGATGCCATATCCAAGGGTATTAATACGATTTTAGGAGACCAAAAGTTGCTCAATATGTTATCGTTAGTGTCACAAACACAGAATCCTAAAATCAGTGATAATTTAACAAATACTGTTTCAACAATTAAAGAAGAAAATTTTGATCAGAGTCAAATGCCGTTCCAAGACCAGTCAAATCAAAGCTATGAAGATCATTCCAATCAAGGTGAAAGTTTTGCACAAAGAGAATTTGTCAATTTCGACGATCAAACTCGGAGTAGCTTTACAATGGTCAGCAATGACCAGGAAACGAGATTTGATGGACCTGGAAATTTTGAAAGGACTCAATTTCCGAATAGATTTGGGAATTTCAATCAAGGAAACCGGTTCGGAAATTTCGAAAATGAGTCGTTTGGAAAAAACAATTTTAGTGGAAGACCCGACGAAAGGTTTCCTCCAGGTCCAAATCAAAATAGATTCGGTCTGAATCAAGACAGGTTTGGTCCAAATCAGGAGAGATTTGACCCCAATCAAGACAGGTTTGCTCCAAATCAAGAGAGATTTGGCCCAAATCAAGATAAGTTTGGTCCAAATCATGATAGGTTTAATCCCAATCAGAACAGGTTTGGCAGAAATGGGCCGAATCAAGACCGTTTTGGGCCGAATCAGAAATATGGACCTAACCAAAATAGATTTGGTCCGAATCAAGGCAAGTTCGGACCGAATCAAGAAAATTTTGGGCCAAATCAGGAACAATTTGGCTCGAATCAGCAGAGATTTGGTCCAAACCAAAACAGATTTGGACTCAACCAAAATAGATGTGGGGCGGGTCCGAATCAGGGTAAATTTGGTCCACACCAAGAACAGTTTGGTCCGAATCAAGAGAGGTTTCCTCCGAATCAAGAACGGTTTGGTCCCCAAGGAAGAAATGAAGGTTTTAATCGAATTAATGATCGGAATTTTCCAAGAGGTCCGCCCCAAAAAGGACAATTTAATTATAATAACGATAATAATTTTAATCAAGGACAATACGACGATCCAGGACACAATGAAGATGAATACGACGAAAATTATGATTATGATCAAGTGGCCTCTAATTTTGAAGAAGAAACACGCCATTCAATGGATTGGAAAGAAGAAGGAAATTATGAAGATGAAAATCAACCACCACCGGCTGAACAACAACCCCCTGCACCTCCGAAAATAACTGAAATTTTTCAACCGGCTGAGGTTATCGATTACGATCATAAACCTCCCAAATCTGGTAAATGAACGTTGGAAATTTTTGACAGTTTTGTATGATATAATTTTTTAGCAGAACCGGAAGTTTTAATCGAACCTATTTATATGTTTGACTATCGCCACAAACCTTTGAGTCGCATTCCCATTCCGCAAAGACCTAAATGGCTTACTGATGTTGTTAGAAATATAAGAGAATTTGATCCTCCCACTGTGAGGCCTTACGAACCTCCAAACTTGCGAAGATATCCTCCACCTGTCGACCACTGGCGGAAGGATCGGTACCAAGATAGGTGGTCACCTCATAACAGGCGCGGTTACAATGAAGAAAGGCGGCCATATAATGATAGGTACGACGAACCCCCAACGGAAAAAAGAAGAGAAGAAAGGAGGAGTTTTGATTATCCAGAAGAAAAGAGACACTTTAATAGAATGGAGTTGGAAGAAGAGAAAATTAGTGATACAGAATGGCCGGAAGATGATTTTGAACCGGAAAAACCTATGGATTTTCCAAAATTTCAAAAACCTGAACCTGACAAACCTAACAAAAATGTTGTTTTGATTGAGGACTTGATTAATCCTCCTGGAAGATTTAAACGACCTCCGCGCATCGTAATAATTCTGAGAGGTCCCCCAGGAAGTGGCAAAACATTTCTCGCTAAACTTATCAAAGATAAGGAGGTAAAAAAAGTCACCACCAAATTTTCTTCCATTTATTTGAGTTTTTTTCAGGTCGAGAATGGTGGTTCAGCACCACGTATTCTATCCCTTGATGATTACTTTATGGTCGAACAAGAGAAAGAAGTGACTGAAGAAGGAAAAAAAGTGAAGATTAAAGAAATGGTGTATGAATACGAGGCTGAAATGGAGGAATCTTACAGGACGTCTTTGATAAAATCGTTTAAGAAAACTATAACAGACGGTTATTTCTCGTTTATTATTGTAGATAATGTTAACGACAAAGTGAAATATTTTGGGGAAATGTGGAGTTACGCGAAACAGTACGGTTTTCAGGTTTGGGCTAATATTCAAGAATTGGTTTGTGATAGTTTGTGTGGTTATTTCAGGTTTATGTTTGTCAGTTAGATTTGGATGTTCACACTTGTTCTAAACGAAACATCCACGGAAGGTCTGAGGCCGATATCGAAAAATGTGTCTCAAGCTGGGAAGCAACTCCTCAACACCACCCCATACTCGATGCCACAAGTCTCCTCCAATCAGCGTCGATTCCAGAAGTCGAAATGGAAGAAGTCAATTCACCTGAAAGTGATTTGAACGAAGGTGACGGGTCGGAGGTAAGATAGAGGTCGAAGTAAGGAAAAAAAAAATAGTTTTAACAATTGTTCAACTTATTATTATGTAACTGGTATTTTTCCACAGCATAATATGGTGTTGCGATCGTATTTCTGTTAGACTTGATTTCGTTGTAAATTTTTGTTGTTTTTATTTTATTTTTTACTAAAAAGTTAGTCTCCTTCAGGACCAAGTAGCTAGAAGCAAGTGGGACACTTTCGACTGTTCTGTTGATAATCTCGGTAAGTTATTCAAACAACAAAACGCTCGTTTAGTATTTTAGTATTTATCTATTGTACTTGAAAATTTTCAAGAGACACACATTTTACATTGTTTTGTAAAATGTGATTCTTGGTTTTCAGCCCAGGCTTGGGCTCCAAACGTCTTGAGATGGTAGTAGTTTTGCGAAATTTTACTATATTTTTTCTAGTCAAACATTGTTTAATGTATTGACATTGACATTGGGAGTGAATTTTATTTACTAACACCTAATTAGATTTCCCCAATTTGAGGCACAAAATTATCACACTACTGCGTATTAAAAAAATGACTTTCTTTAGTTACACAATCAGCGACAATCTTGAGGAGACAAGCGCTTTTATTATTTTACAGTACTTAGAACTCTTTTTCTAAATTATTATTCAAGTGATACGATTTTCAACATACTAAAATATCATTTGATTTATTATATTTCTATTACTTTTTATTGTATTTAAAATTACACTATCCAACACCAAACTCTTCCTTTAGACGAAAGTGTGAAGTTTGTTTTTTTGGGGTGCTAAAGGCGAATTTGAAAGTAGTATTAATTTTTATTGAAAGAATTTTGAGAAAATCGCACTGGTCATTTTTTTGAATATGCAAAAAAACTCGAAAACAGGCAAACAACACTTTCAGAACATTAAATGCGAAAATTAAAATTGGTTTTAAATTCGCATTCAGCACCTCAGAAAAAAAGACACTTTTTTTTCGTTTGAAAGAGGGAAAAAAGTGAAAATTTGTCGGGCAGTGTTTTTTGACAATGAACTTTCTAGTGGTGCGTGGACCGTTTTTTTTTTTCAGGCCATTCCTGTGGTTTTTTCGAAAAAAGTGCGAATTTTTGTTGCATTGTGCTTTTTTGTATGTTTCAGCGAAACTCGATGGCGTCAGCAAACCCTTGCGACAGCGGACCATGGAAGAATACCTCCAATTGGATACAGACTGGACTCCCATCAAACCCACCAAACCCGGACAAAAGAGAGTCAGTCCATGCAACTCATTCTAATTTTTTTGTAATTTGCCAATTTCAGGTTCGGTGGGCCGATTTGGAGGAACAGAAACAACAAGAGAAGATGAGGGCAATCGGATTTGTCGTGGGACACACGGACTGGGATAGAATGATGGATCCGACTGGCGGCAGTTCTGCTCTAACTCAAACAAAATATATCGAACGGACCGGACGGTTTAAAGTTGATCAGAAATAAAACACTTTTCGTCAGTTTTTTATTAATGGGTTAAGAATGAACTTTTTTTGTATGATTATAATAAATTAAAAATCATGGTCTTACGGCTTTTTCGCTAGTCCGAAGTTTAACCGGAATTTGCGCCATGTATTGACTTTGCGGTTTGGTTTCTTCTCTTGATTCTTTACTAAGGGAAGAATTCAATTCAGTTTCACCCTTGCGTTTCTGAGCTTCGATCTGACGCGTTTCTTGAATTCTTGCTTGCATTATGACCACTTGCGGATTCATTTCGTCCATGTGGTCTTGTAGACAGTTTTGTAGAATGTTGAGGAAAAACAAAAATGCCAGGAGAGTTAAGGCCGTTAATGCTATGCTGTGTTTGCCGCCGCCTTTCGAACTACTATTTTTACAAAAATTAACAAAACGTGATTAACTAATTTAAGTACTTACTGACTGTGTGATGATCCACCGGAGCTACTGTAATGCGTTCTGTCGATACTTATAGATGGTGTTACGCCCAAATTGGGCATTAGTGGATTAGGTGTTAAAGCCATGTTTTCTTTGCGATATTTTGTAGACTTGTGCGGATTTATCCCGGAACTTTTGTAGTGTCATTCCTTGTAACTGTTTTTCCGGCCTGAGATTTTCAGCGGAAATAATGCGACGAGACGTATCTTTGTACTATAATTACTTGGCGACAATTTTTAGTGTTTTTGCCGATTATTAAGGCCATTTGCTGTTTCATAATCCAAAAAACATGAGGGTTATGCTGAAAGCTAGTTAGCCTTATTTCGGCATTTTTTGGTAAAGTTGAATTGAGACTCATTTTGTATATAAAAACATTTATTAACTTAACATTACATAATCGTAACAATTGATTATTTCTTAAGTTTAACCAAAATGTTCTGATAACTTTGCAAAGCAGGGTTGTTACGTCAATTTGGTGAAACTTTCCTTAGGATTAAATTTGGTTCTATTTAAGTAAAAATAATGGAGGTTTTAATGAATAAATAAACTTTATTGTAATCGAGTTATAATTTATACTGTACATGAACCCCATTCGCTACTCAGTCATTCATTCATGCAACCATTCAAAAATGATAAAATAACCGCATCCACTAACAAAGCTCGGACCAGTCCTTGATTTCCATCGATTTCCGATTAAAATCATGTGTCATGTAATGAAACAACAAATAAATACTATTTTACAAATAAATTATTGCTCATTTTGGATATGTGTGATTCTAAAGTGGAATTTCAAACTTCGTTACATTCCAAGTACGCTTGACGGCAGTTATCACCGGATCTTCCTCGTCTCCCAGCTTCGTAGAGTAAATCAAATGTGGTGGAGCTCGTCGATCTGTCCAAGATGAAGCTAGCGGCATAACTGTAATCAAATCAAATAAATGACTTGGTCGTCTTGTTACAAAATGACAAACCTTCCGAGGTGACAGAAGAGAGAGCTTTGGCCAACATCTGTCGAGCATTCGCTGTTAGCAACGCACATGTATTTCTGCATGCATTTGCTGTCGGCGGTGGATAATGACCTGACGTAACCCTTCATCATGGCAATTCCGGCGACGGCGGCGTCACTGATCGAGTCCTTTTTGCCGATGTTTCTCGCTGCCATAGAGCGGTGAGAGAAGGATGTTTTCAAAGCGTCCAAGAGATTCACCACGATGTTGATGAACTGGAAATGAAAAGGGTTAGGACCATGTCGTGATGGGGCAAGTCAGTGGAGTCACCGACATACCTCCCCAGCTTGTTTAGCCATCATGTTGACCTGATTTGGGTCCCTAGATCCAAGCACCGTTGAAATAATCGCCGCCAGAACTCCCTGTGCAACGCAAGCCACTACTAGTGCTAAGTTTACTTATATACACGCTCACTATGCTACCAAGCGGAAGCAAAACCAACCAAAAAACACCAAAACTACCAACCTGCATGGGAGACCCATTGTCAACTTTGTCAATTCCGTCACTGTTTCCGCCTGCGCCTCCTCCAAGAATTGCCGTGAGGATTTTAAGACCAACGGAGAGTAAATTCGCCCATGGGGAAGGTGCAACGCCTGTATCGTCTAACCCTTCAGATTTGTTGGGGCCTTGGTGGGCGCCACCACCGGGACTGAAGATCATCTGCATTAGCATACCTGTGGATGCCACACAGTTAGAAAGGTTTCAATCAGGATGAGACGAACACGAACCTAGAAGGTTAGACCAGGAGAAGCCGCCGCCTCCGTTTTCGGAAATCTGGTTGGTTTGGATGTCATCTAAATCATCGAGGGCTACTTTTTTGATAGCGTTCGGCTTTTCGGCGAACTTACGTTCTATCCTTTGGGCGGGCAGTTGGGGGGTTCGGACGGGGACGAAGCCGCCGTCTGAGGGAAACGATATTGTGCTGACTATCGAACTGCTGACTAGAAGGGCGAAAAGGGCCCATCCAACTGATTGCTTGTACATCTGCAATCAAAAATTATTTTGATATTGCGTTAAAAATGTAAAAGTGCATATTAGTGAATAAAAAATACAAAAAAGGTAAGTTGTGTATAAAATCGTTTTGCTCGTTGAAGAGATAGTAAGAAAAACTCTAAACATCGCTATTTCGCTAATAAAAGAGGCCATATTCGTGTTTGCGAAAGTTTCTGTTAAAAAGCAAAGTGAAAATGATTCACTTTGTATTTTTTTTTGTAACACATTTTGTACTTGTATATAAAGACAATTCTGATTTTTTTTGTTGTGTTTACACCTATTCGTTCTACTATGTTTTCAGTTTTCTTTTAATTGCATAAAGTTTTTATTTTGGTGACGTAATTTTTAATAATTATATCAAAGTAGAATACATTTACATACTCGTTCTTAGTAGTTACAATATCGAATAAGTTTATTATTTTTTACAAATTGTAATTTATTTAAGGGACACATGTCACATGCATTTATTTTTTGGGTGTTTTTGTATCTCTACTTGATGAGCTTATGAATTTTAAGAGTGTTAACAATTAAATTTTAACTACCACAGTACAGTTAGATTTTAGATGGTAATATGCATGTAGTAATTAAGATGTTAATTACTACCTACTTTTTTACTTTTAATGTAATTAGCAAATTTATTTGATTTTATAACTGCGTACAGAACAGTTATATTTTGCATGAGTATTAAATATAACGGGTATCATAAACTTACAAAAGATTGCATCTGGAGTAGTTTTTTGGTGCTGAATCTATAGGTAATATTAAAATTTGTGTACCTAATTAGGGGTGCTATGGTACTGGAGTCAATCTATTTAAGGCGTAAAATTTTGCTTTGCAAGAAGTTTTTTGAAAATTTTTTTATTGGCTAATTTTCTTTAAAAAAGTGTCTTGCGTTATTTTTGTTCGACATACCCTTTTCGAGAAAAACGAGTTTTTTAAACCGTGAATTAACTTGGATTCTGAAAAACAACCCATGCAGTGAATTTTTTTGTAGGTATAGGTACGTTTATTTATCGCTCTAGCTACCTTAAAAAGCATTTCCGAACGTAGTTCTTTAGGTCTTTTTTCTTTTTTTGATCTAGGGAACCATCCAATTAAATTTTTTACTGCTTTGTTGGGACACTCGGTATATATATTTTAATGTACCTTCATGGTGATTCAACTGAGTTCAACTTTTGTTTTACTTTGTGTTTTTGTATAAGTGTTTTTCGAAACGAAAGCAACGCTGGTTCTGAATTAACCAATATGATTTTGGTTCTATATTGAGCTTTTTGGCGCATTAACAGTAAAAAAACTCAATTTTCTAGAATCAATCGAAACAGTATATTACAACGGAAATGGTAAATATTTTATTACATTGAGACTCAGATTATCTGACCAAGAGGCGCAGCTTCGAGGTTAGATGGAGCCAGAGGGTGAAATGCATTTTATTTATATGCTATTTTATTTACAATCACATTTCGTTCAAATAATAAAATATTTGTTTTTATTTTCAAAGTTGAGACATTAATGCTGTTGGGTGCGAACAAATTGCGTTTTTGGCTCGTGATGTTGACAATCCTGCATAAATCATTTCCCAAACAAGGGAGGGGAAGACGTATTTTCCGACGTTTTATACAATTTTACCATTTTGGCATGCATATTTAAGTTATTAATTGTGCCAAATGCGTTCACTTATTTTTCGAAAATTGTAATTTCCGATTGTCCAAGTGAGTTGATTACATTCTCCGATAATCCGTGTTGCAATTGACCGAGAGAATCACGATCAAGTTCAGTGGCGTACCATTTCTAGGTCACCGTTATTTGACTTTACCGTAATTTGTTAATTACATCGAATATTATTCATAGACGGTCCAATCTGTGTCAGGATCAAAAAGCGCGAGAAGAGTAGAATTATCCATCGTCCTACTTAAAGAGTCGCAATTGTGATGGGTACTTTCTATGGTGTAATTTCTAGAACGCGATGATTTGCGATGCGTTCGGATGATTTTTCGACAATGCCATTACAACAATTGAAATGATTGTGTTGGGTAACCGCTATTATCGGGAAAGTGTTCCCTCTTGGTGCAATTAGCGGTAATTAAATTCAAAAGAGGGTAAATGACCGGTTGGTGCGTTGCCAGTTATAATTGCCGTTAACCGCGTAATTTTGACTCAGTACTTCGATTTTTCATGAAATTTTTGTTCTTGTGCTTGGTTCTTGTGCTATCGTCAAATTCTCCGCATGTAGGTCGCGGCTCGATAGTAGGTCATTGGGCATTGTGGACAGTGCATCAACCTCGCGATGTTCACTTTACAATCAAATGAAAAACGTGTTTACTTCAACCAACAATAAATCACTGAAGCACCCACCTGAATTTTCCAGATAATTTCGTCCGAAAGCGAAATTTCGAAATTTACCAAAATATGACCAACTTCTCAGAAAAATATTTTTTATCAGTGTTATAATTAGGGTAGAAGTCGTAAAATGTTTCACTCACCTTAAAAATTCTTTTACTAAATCACAGACAGTCACAACAGGTAGACAGACATGCACTTGTCGGAAGATAACTACTGCAAATGCTTCTTAGATACCTTGAACTTGGGTTTATATACGTTGACCCACTTACCTGTTGTGGGAAATGCCAGTACGGAGTCGCCACAGCGGTAGTAAAACTTGATGACATCTTGTGGAGATGGCTAGTGTTGTGAATTTCACTTGTTGGGAAGCGCTTGATATTTACCTGTTAATTTGATTTAATTACGTATAATCCAATGAGAAATTAGGTTTGTTAATTGGAGCAGACCCTATCATGAACTTGAGGGAAGTTTTAAATTATTACAAAAATCATTTATATTCATAATTAGAAAAAAACTGATCTACCGATCAGGTTAATACTTTTGGCAAATATAACGGCGCTATTTGGCGTTAAGTAAATTATGTAACTGTTATTATAAATTCCTTTTTTTATGTCTCCTAGTTTACTATACCGTTTTTACCCAATGTTATTCATTTTGGAAAATTTTATAACAAGTTGAATAATTTTGTTGAAAGTTTTTTGTCACGGGATAACAATAAGTATTCAAAAATTAATTTTTTATTGTCTTTGTCAAGGTCCGGTTGTAATGTTAAGAAAGTATTGAGTCATAAGAAATTAAATAAATTGTGTTCCGGCGAAGAGTTCGACTTGGTTACTTTTGGAATCAGATCCGGATTTGGGTTCATTGCCTCTTAAATGTAGCATTTCTCAGACTGTTAATGACGTAAATGGATTTAAATTTTATTATCAATGCAATATTCTTTAATTTTACATATTTTATAGTTTTATTTAAATAAGTTACAGATGATGCAATAGAAGCTGCATTGACAGTGTAGGTATTATTGGATTTCAGCAATTTTAACAAGATTAGGGTCAAATTTCATTCTTGATACACAGAATGTTTTAGATTTAGTTGTTTTTAAAAACTATAAACTAGTTATTAGAAGGACGAGATTTGGTTTTGTTTAATTTTGAACTTGTTAGAACTTTATTTTACTGCAGTGGAGCACAAGGGAGGAAAGTTTAATCTTCGCTTTAATCTCTGGGAGAAAAAGTAACTTTTTTCTTGCTGTTGTTGGAGTAATTTGCAGGTAAAAAAGTAATTCTGTCTCCCGAGTCTATGTCATCGAATCATCTATGGAACTAATAAATCATGCCTTATCGACGACAAATTGTCTAATTGCACCAATTGCGCTGATTGTTCAATTAAATTTGCTATGTTTACTCAAATTTGAAACACTTTGTAATTACATTTTGATAATTTAAGAAATTTGAATGCGACTTTAATATGCGTAAAATTACAATGTTAGGAATTTGGAATTTAATCAGATTTATTGTCAAATACAGTGATTTATTGAACTTTTGTTCTCGGTTTGATGATCTAATTTATTTAACGTGTTTGATTTACCGATACTTTTAACTTTTCAGTATTTTTTATAATTTTTAGTGGTTTTAATAATATTAAGTCGTTTTCCGGTAGCACCTACATTTCATGCACTGAATAAGCGTATCCAATTTGATTTATTTATTCATCTTAAAACCGTATTACAATAATTTGAAGATCCTCGCGTCCAATCGAGTTTTTTCTCGAAACTTTTTCCTTCTTCCTTTGATCACTTTTCCCATTCTCATTCTTCTGGGCCTTTGCATTCTTTGCTTTCTCCTTATAAACGACATTTGATCTTGGCGACTTTTAACCTCCATTTAAGTGAATTTTTCACATTTCCGGTCATGTTACAAACAAATATGTCACGGTTATACCAATTTTTTCGTAGCGTTGAATCTACCATCTGTCTTCTGGCGAGATTTGAACGTTTAGAGGGCTTTGAAGTGATTAACTGTACTCGCTCAATTAAGGTTTAACAATGCTAAATGCTTCCTACACACGAATAATGGCGATTTCTAGTAAAACGTTCTTGTTTTCCCTGATTCGATTCAATTTTTTTCGACTTTCGTAATATCGACATTTACATCTCGTGTGCGCAATTTGAAGTTTCTGTGACATAACGGAACACAAATACGCGCTCCTAACTGTACCTCAATAACATACTTGGATGAAAATATTAACACATACATGGCATCCTTTCTACAGACCAAAATAAGTAAATGCACTGCGAACTGGGCCTGATTATAATAGTGCAGGTCGAGGAAAACTTGTTTCAATTGTAACTTTTTGTCTCAGAAGTCTAGAAATACAATTACTTTAAAGACGAATTCTAGTATTTTTCAAACAAACCTCATCATCTGACTCAGACGGGCTTATCAGTTCCCTCACTTTAGCCTCAAACACGTCCTTTGTTGTTTCGTCACTATTTCGCCGTTTCAGTTTATCTTTTATAAAGTAAGCGAAAATGCAAAAAGTCAGTAGCAAAATCGATACAAAAGTTACCAGGAATGAAATAAAGAACAATAAAACTAACAACCACATATTGATACACTTTATTACAATGATAAGGTACTTATATTTTTAAATTCTTATCGTATGTGCCTCCAGATAAATCCCAGATAATTAGTGGAAAGACGTGCGACTGCTCGTAGGTGACCCTCGAAAAAAAGTATACTCTCCATTAGTGCTATAATCACTTATCACTGACAGTCTTTGCCCCTCTTCGTTGAATTCGTAGGTTCGGGTTTTATCTTTGTATTCTTTTCGGTTAATACAAACGTAAATTGCTGAGGCAACAGTAGTCACAAATCCAATTATTATTATGATTACACTAGGGTGGGATTTAAAACTTTCAACTAGATCCATATTAAACACTGAATAACGTCTCGCACTTTCAAAATTACATTTACACTGAACTTATCAAATTATACATGAATCACAGAATGATAAGTAGTGACGGAAGTGCATTTTCGTCACGACTAATAGGGAAAATGTGATATTTAGTTCTGAAACATTTCCACTTGTGTAAATATTTACAGGAAATTTATTGGTAGTATTTCACACCAACTCATTTGTTTATAGTATAAAAAGATAGTTATAATGTTCTCTACTTGAAAAAAAAAAATGATATTATGGTGTTTAAAGTATCTTCATAGTGGCTACTTCAGACGCCGGGCGATTATTATTCACAATGGGGTCATAATAGCTAAATTCGTGTTCAGTGTCCATACTGAACTGAGACATTCGATTCTTTGAAAGATTGTCGGTATCTACATTGCTGTAATTTATATACGTTTGATTAAGACCTGTAATTTCTTCTGACGATGCTTTGGTAGTAAATTCCAAATTTCTACAACAGGTATAATATGTTGTGGCCATCAAGAAACACGCTATTATGATAGTAATGACAGCACCACCGATTACAACCCAAGTAATATTTTTCTCATAGGCGCAAACCGCATATATGATGTGTATAGTGAGCTAAAAAAGCATGATTATTTATGATTATTATTTAAAAAAAATGATCTTACTTCAATGGCAACTTGTGATATTGTATTCTTCATTTTTGATGTGTTGTTGTTTTGCATTTGTCAAACGGAAAGTATATTTTTTAAATTATTTATATCATTTTGCTAAAATTACTAAATATGTATGAATTGTGGCAGCAGGATTTGCCCGTATTATCTTATCTTTTCCTGTAACATTTTTATTGATAATTTGTTATAATAACTTGACTGTTCACTGCCAGAGTACCTATATGGAAATGAAATTTATTTTTAATGTAATAAAGATAACTCTAAAACTCTAAAAATAGTTATAAATTATTTTGCAAACTTTTGGTTGAGATGCTGTTTTTGATACTGTTAATTTTCAGAATTTGTTAGAAGCAATGTTAGAAGTATTTTAACGCTTTCGTGAGCCACTTGTTAGGCAACCAGACATGCCATGAATATAAATATTGGTTATCCTCATCGTGGACCTCCGTTTCGAACAGTAATTCTGTACACTGTAAACTTTTCTATGGTCGGAAAAATTGCTCACATCAAGATTTTTTCGACTAAACTAGTTATTTTTGTTACAAATACCTAAAATACAGTTTTGCGGACGAACCGTTGTTGTTTCCGGTCAAGGCGAAGCCGTGTTACAAATAACATTTTTCTGTTAAATCTCCCAAAAACTAGTGTCTCAAATTCGATTTAAACCTGTCTTATCCGATAGATTTTATTTACCAAGCATTTTGCCCTATCTCCTCCAGTTTCGCCGAAATCGGCGAAATTTTGTTTGGAAGTATTGACTTAGCTTTCGTCAATCGATAGATATTTTTTACGCTAAATACGATGGTGTTGATCTAGGTAAATCTAGGTAATAATTTGGCCATAATCGTCCAAAAAGTAAAAATTTTTAAAATCGTGAAACATTAAATGCGTTTTTCTACGAAACTATAAGACTTAGGACAAAAACCAAAGAAACTTCAAAATTTGCTTTAAATTATCTATTAATGGCGCAAACTCGAAGTCCCTTCGGGTTATAGTTCCTGGTACAGAACCATTTTTAGTTTTTTTTTTTTTTATAAAAAAAACAGTCATATCTCAAAAACTAGGAGCCCTAGGTAAAAACGGTTTGTACAGGCGTATTCTCCGGTTAATTTTACATTTAGTAGATACGTACTAGTTTTTTTATAAGAATTAAGGTTTTGAGTTAGTTAGTGATTAAGATAGATAAACTACAATCATATTCATGCCGTCTCTTGATAGAACAAATGATAATTGTTTCTGAAAAACTGCAGTTTATGACTATTAATGAAACAGTGATTAGTTTGACAACTACTGTCATGGGTTTCCAAAAATTAAATAATTAAATGTGTATTTTTTGTATCCAGTGTTCTGTGACTTTTGTATATTTGGGTGCGTACATTCGGCGCAAGTCTCGTAAAGTTATGTGAAACACCCTGTATAAATTCGACTATAACTTCAAAACTATTACGAATTTTGCAGCTTTCTTAACGCCAATCGATTCCCCGGAACATTTTACATATATCTTCGTCAAAATATTATATTATTGAGGTACAGTTTTGTCGCAATTTATAAACTAAAAAAAAGCAAAAATGTGTTGTGTTTTTGAACATGTCTCAGATTCTATTTAAACCTATCTTATCCGATAGATTTTGACCCGCTGATTACGAGTTTACCAAGCATTTTGTTCCCTCTCCTCTAGTTTCGCCGTAATCGACGTTTAAAGATTGAATTTTTTTTGTGTGATAGGTATATTGACTGCGCTTTGGCGTCAATTCATAGACTTTTTAGTTAGGATGGTGTTAGACTTTCTGCTCTAAGTTTCGCTGTAATCGCCGTTCAAAAAGTAAAAATTATCGAGATTGTGAATCTTTAAATGCGTTTTTCTTAAAAAACCAAAGGACTTAGGACACAAAGTAAAGAAACGTCAGAATTTGCTTTGAAATATCTATTTAATGGCGTAAACCCGAATCGCTCCGAGTTAGGGTTCCGGTAACAGAGCCATTTTTATTTTTTCATAAAACCATATCTCGAAAGCTAGGTATGTATCCTAGCTCAAAACGGTTTGTATCAGTTTTTGATAAGAAACAATTTTTTTACCGTATCTTAATATTTGGATAAAATGCATATAGCCCTATTTCTACATTTATTATCCAATAATGTCTCAAAAACGATTGATCATAGTGTTTTTATTTCGGGATTATCGTCTTAACGTCTTTTTTACTTGGTAGATTAATAAAACTTCAAAGATCAATAATAAAACATTTATGTACTAGATTGTTCGAAGAATCAGTCATTTTCAGTGATCGTATCGACATCTATTTGCACATCTTGGTCCTGGGTCGAATCTGCACTATTTTCACCTCCTTTTCCAGCTTCTTTAGAATGTCTCCATTTCATCCTCCTATTCTGAAACCAGACTTTCACTTGTGCATCTGTCAGACCCAAAGTAGCCGCAAGTTGTCTCCTGTCTGGCTTTGTGATATACTTCTGCAACTGAAACCGCCTTTCCAATCCTTTTCTTTGCAAATTACTAAAAACAGCCCTCGACCAGGACCTCTTTCTCTTATTGTTATTCTGGTTGATGTTCAAGGTTGGCGACGTGGCTGGGGGCGGCGGTGGAACCGGGATGCGTACAGCTGAAACATTTTTTCTTAGAAACGATAAATCTATTAGATTTAGGAAGCGCATAAGTCGGTGGCATGTTTGTATATTCTTATAGGTCGCGTGTGATGTATCCCAGACTAGAGCCGGGTGTTTATTACCCGATTTTGTTTAGGAGATGGCATCCTGTCTTCGAAGTGATTGTCGTTGCAAAATTCTGGTATTTTTGGTCGTATTTACGCGATAAAATGTTGTAATAAAACCGAATTCGGATGCCAAATAAACAATGTTGGGTGATAAATGGTCGGGTTTAATCTAAATACTATATAACCTGGTAAGTATATTTATTTAAGTTTTGTTTTATTGGAAACACCGCGATATAATCGTTAAAGTTAACTGGTTTATTTCCAGGCACAACAAATCAAAGCAAATGTTCTCTGGATATAGATGCGTGTCTATTAGCATCCTCTAAACACTTAAGGGGCCGTGTATATACAAACTAGGAATACTTAAACCTAACAACTGTAAACTGAAGCATCTGAAAGTGTTTATGATAATACTATACACCGAACGTTGTTTATATTCGAGCACAAAATTTGGTACTCATCAACGGTTTTAAGGATGTATATTTACAAACCATTATAGTCTGTTTTCGACTTTATTGCCGTTCCTCACTGATTTGATTTTTATGACAGAACCGTATTTTTTATATTTCTATTGTGCGCCCGCATGATGTTTTATGACATTATTACACCACTAAAACGCATCGTAAATAACAAAATTCGATTAATTACAACTATGAACCGGTCGTAAAACCATTCAAAACCATTTTGGAGTCAACAGGCCGTAAATTAGCGTAATATTGAAGCGACGACATATACTTCTAATCCGGAAAAATGAAGTTACCACTCGTTAAAATCTGTGTGAGTTATGCAATGATGGTACAGCGATAAAAGTCGGCTAATTGGTCCGGGCTGTTATCCAAACAAGACTTTAATGGAGAAATTATAATATCAATAATGGAGCAATGATCAATTTGAAAACTAGTCTTTATAATCGTGACAAATGACTTAAAACAAGTTAAGTGACTAAATTATTAGCAGGAAACGGCAGGAGGGAACCTTCTAATGGCTTTTTCATATAAAGTGGATGTTCTGATGCTCGATACATGCTGGGATTATGATTACCAGAAGTTGGCTTCGTATAACCTCACACATTAAACAGTATATATTGGAGTGAAGCCGTTTGCAATCTACTGCATTCATAAATCGTGAAGCTTTGCATAGTTGTGGAATCCCACTTTTCGATACTTTAAAAATCAAATGAGAATTATTTTATGTTTTATAATAATGTTAAGAAGAATTGTATAACAAAGTGACTATTCTATCACCGCCACTGTTTGTCGTTAATATATCACCCTCATTAATCAACGACATTTTTTCTGATATTGACTAATAAAATGAAAGAGTAAATGATTTGGTTAATTAATTTTATCGTGTTTTTAACAGTTCGATGATGTCAGAATTATAATAGTTACCTTTTAAGACATTGGTGATATCCTACGCTAGACTATCAATTATAATTCCTTATCTGTTTACATATGTACAGCGTGAGCAGAAAGTATTTGGAACCAAGCACTTTTTTTTGGCTATTTACTTAAAAAAAAAGTTGGTAAATGATTAAGGGCCGATTTACAGAAAGCGAATTAAAAATTAATTAAGTCAAACTAATTTCAGTAAAATTGTTACTAATTTTGCGTTGCCAAACGTGAAATTAATCGCAAAGTAAAGTTTGAATGCAATTACCTAAATCTTCTGTAAAGCAGCCCTTAGTATTATTCCAGGTGAATAAAAAGTATGGAACCAAACGTTTTTTGCTTAAACTATTGATTTTTTGGAAAAACGAATTGATGAATAATAAAGTGCTATAAAAAAAGTGATGTTTTATGAAGAAAATTTTGAAAAAAATTTTCTTTTGTTTTTGAGTTTTACAATTTTTTATATTTTTTTAAATGGCAACTCACTATGAAGGTTATGATCTAAGGATTTACAACTAACTACTTTAGAAAAACAAAACAAAATTTCGTTCTCAAATTCGATCACATTTTTTATATAATTTTAATTTGTATCAATTATTATTTTCTGAAGGCAAATAATTAAAAAAAACGCTTGGGTCTATACTTTATACTTATCCTGCATGTATAAAATGCGTGGTCGTTTTTCAAGAATGAATTTTTTGGAAATATTTTTTTGTTCATTCTGATTTTTTTACATAGATTCTATACGTATTTATGTATGTAGTTATATTCTTAAATCATGATCGTTGTAAGAAAAATGTCAGTGGGTTGTAATTTAAAACATTAATAAATTTTGCACAATTTAGAAACAATTAAATTTTAGTTTTGACATTTTTATAGTACCTACTCTCTTTCAGTAATTATTTTTTTCAGAAAGATAAATAATTTAAAGACAATTATTAATTCTATACGCAAGGTATGCATACCTATTATGGACCTATATGTACTACCTATATGTATTAGTACGTTTTGTAAGTTTGTGAGTATCTGGGGATTTTTAAGGATAATGTTTCTGCCTTTTCTAATTCTAAGATTTATGAGAACTCAACTAAAATTTATCTTGTTTTAAACAATTGGCAAGGTTTATTTCGTTTCCAAAGGCATCAAAATATATTTTAAAATTTTTACTGCGACATTACGACCTTCATAAATAAACAAGTAATTAATTTTCTTGTTAGGTACTTTAAGCTTAATGAACAATTATTTTTTCATATCATATACTTTTTAAAATTAACTGACGATTTTGCTCTACATTAGCACATCCGAATAACGAACATTCAAGCATAATTGAGTACTTTCAATTTCTTTTTCCTCAAATTTATTTCTGCCTTGACATTACTTCATTAACTTCAGTGAGAACTGAGAAAGCAAAATTAGTCATTGTGAAAACAAAATTATAAAAATATTTCCGTCATAGAATAAAAAACACATCTGTTAACACATAACAGTAAAAAAAGTGTATTTCTGATTTATCGAGTTAGTTGTTTTAAAGATCTGTTATCGAATTATTATTATACATGATGAATTTTATATAAGTTTATATAAGTTTATTTTTATATAAGTAGTGTTTTATGTCTAATGATCCCATAAATCGCTAATAAAAATTCTTTGATAAATATGGCTAAAGAGTTAAAGACCTGTCTCATCTGTAATCAAAAATCGTAAAGTTCCATAACGGGACATTCAAACCAAATTAGTGCTTTTATTTCTTTAGCCGCAATCTCTAATTTTATCTGGCTACCAACGATTTCGGTATCAGCGGGGTACTTTCAACATATGTATTTGAAATGCTGGTTATATTTCTTAATTTAGGATCCACCTATCTATAATCTCTTTTATGGGCAATAATTATCATGCGTTTCTAGTTATACAAACAAGCAACTTCTCTGAAAAATTATAAAACGTGATCTGATGGTGGATAGTTTATATTTCAGGTTTCAGCTGCCATAAAATAAATCCACCTGTGAAATATGATAGCCATACGTGGTTTTGTGTTTTATTGATGATTTCTGGTTTATTATCAATTTTTTCTGGTGTTGCAACCGCGTTATACATAACAAAACTATTTGGCAAGATTCAGGAAACATAAAAACTTACAAATGAGACGGATGTTTTCCCTAAAAACGTTTATTTAATTTTTCTATCGTACATTGATTATTCCTAGTGTTAACATACGTTGTTAGTAGATAGTAAAAGTAAATCAGCGAATCGGATCAAAATGTAAACTTTTCTACTTTATCTGAACTTTAAAATATGTAAGGCTATACTTTCAAATTTAGTATGTAACTTTATTTTGGAAAACAAGATAAAATTTATGGTTATTAATTATTTAATTATTTGCAACAATTAAACTTTGACCGCTGGATTGTTAAATACTTCTTCTAGACTGTATGTTATTTGAAAATAAAAAATCTCGCCGATTAGCTGCCATATCATTATTTACAAATTGTAGGTTTTTGAACTAATTGTAACAGAAGCTTAATAAAATTTCTACGAATTTCAGGAGCGATAACCCTGATAAAGTGCAAAACCACTTTGTTCTGTCTGCCGACAAAAGTGAAACATTAAAAATTTGCTCTCATTAATTAATGAAAAAATATAGTTTAGATTTTCACTTCAAAATAAGGATACTGGAAATAATAAAATTAGCTATTTTAGGATAAGTATAATATTCAGGGTCGGCCTTTTAGTTTGATTTTGGTAAGGTTATACATAATTTGAGGAAAAGAGTAATTTTACATCAGATAATTTAATTAATAAAACTGGGATTAAGGAAGCAAGGCTTCAACATAATGAATCAGTGGTCAGTAAAATGTGGATATTAATTATTTCTAATTGGATGTCATTCTATGGGATTAATTATTGTGCATGTAATAAATAATTGTTAATAATTATAAAATTAATGTTGCAGCTTGTTATGAACTGAATAAATTAAAACTAACATCTTGTCTTGACACTAGGCAGTAGTAAACTATTTTCTTGCTTACTTTTAGTTGCAAAAAGTCGAAAACGCAAAAATTTAAATTATTTATATGTATTCTGATTAGAAAAAATATTATCGTGTTTCTAACCAATATCATAATGTAACTACTTTTTGCTTTACTATAGGTACTACTGAAATATGTATAATTTTAAGAAGATTTTTGAATGGTATATAGAAGAAAATAATTTGCTACACAACAACAAACGCGATTTATGTTTTTTTCTTTTGTACTATTTTATATTTTTGTGTCATTTTTAAAGCACAGGTTAAAATAAGGAGCAAAACATTATCAATGATTTCCAACTGAATCGATAAAGATCAATAAAATAACTAACTAAATTTTAGAAAATTCATTGCTTTCTATCGCTATTTACTTGATAGTACAAAAAAGTTTACTTTGATTTTTTTTAATTTTTTCTTGATCTGTGATTGGGTATTGGTTTCAATTCATAACTTTTTATCATCAATTAATTTTTACTCTCAGATGGTTAAAAAAAATAATTAATTGATATCTGATCAGATCTCTAGATAGGAATGCTTTAAAACAGGTTAAATGATTATGGAATTTTGTGCTTATAATGCAACACAAATTGTATCAAATTTGAGAAATTTTTGTTATATTACGCACAGTTCTGTATTATGCCAACAGTATTGTCAATTGCAAACTCTGAACCAAATCTTTCTTGAGTTAAAAACAAGAACTCGTTTATATTTTACTATAAATGAAGCATGAAAAATTACATTGTTATTTACTATAATTAATCACACTTACTAGTTGAAGTACAATGTACCGACATCCTGAAGATAATGATATTTCTAAGAAATTTTAAAAGACTAATTGATATGTTAACGAATGTATACTCGATTGATTTCATTGAAAACTAACTGATTGTTTTCCAATGTATTAATAACTTCAAACTGTAATAAATGAAGATACCGCATTCTTGTTGCTCTCCTTATGCATTTTTGACATGTATATTTATCTTATTTAAAATTAAACGTTTGATCTGGATTTATTTCTTTAATTTAAAAACAATTTCGTTGTATAACGCTGAAATCATTTTGTAATTTGTAACAATGCAAGATTTTATTTGTGAGTCCTCATCTGCATTACCTGGCCTTGTCGCAAAAGGTCTGATGGGTTGCACTGTATAAATACTCGACGTGGGTGTCACACTCAACCCATGATGCTGTCCAAAAAACTCCCCGATATTGTCCTGCGTCGAAGGACTCAACCGACAACACCTAAACAGCGACGTAACACAGTCAGAACAAGGCACTGGAACAGTCGCTAAAGGTTTAGCCACAACACTTTTATTATCCTTGTAGGGTTCACTGGCGAGGAGTCTGTCGATCCCGAACTTGAGTGGATCCTTTTCGGATTTGGTCCTGGACATATCCATGTTCGGGTGCTGGATTAAAAGGTGCTAATTGATGGGCTCCGCTCCATGCTGGTGTTTAGGTAATAGGCACTAATTGGCGACTAATGGTGCAGTAATAGGCCGGTCCACGCGTTGACTTGCGGTGCTAAGATGTTGGGAGGAGCGATGGCCGCAGTTTATCTCATTGGTTTCTGATTTTGTTAATGTTCTTAGGCGGTGTCTCGCATCTGGTGGAGATGTTGCAGGCAGAGGCGCCGCCGATGATGGGGCGTTTTTATGGCGATTTGCTTTGTACAGTGGCTGGCTTTTTAAGGTTGAAGGTTGCCTCATCAGAATTTAATACCTTTAAATTACTGGCTTTTGCTACTTTTTTCTAGGTAGGTGGTTAATATTGTTAGTTATAGATTTTCTATTGAAATATTTATGGCTTTGTGACCCTGCAACATATAAAAACCAGTTTATTTCAAAAATGAAGTTATTTACTTATACAGGGTGTCAAAAAAAGAGTGTAAAATATTTAAGAAGGTAATAGTATGAATCAATGTAAACAAAAAAAATCTTAATAAACATATGAGTCCGCAAAGTAACGGTTTCGGAGATAATGGAATGTGATTATTTTTTTACTTCCTTTTTTTACTTCCATTTTTTATTTTGCAAAAACTTGCATTTTCTTATAATAGTTGGCTGAGGTTTTGTGAAATAAAAATTAAGTATTTGACTGTTGTTGTCAAAGCCTGCAAGCCCAAAATTTTTTTGGGGGGGAAATTTGAAAAACATTAGTTTATGGTACTCCTGTAAATAGCCTCAAGGAGCTGCAGCTACGTATTATTAATCAACAATGCCAACAAATCCGAGCGAATAGAAAAAGTTCAAATATCCTTCAAACCAAGGCACGACCTGCGTAAAAATGGAAGGATTGCACTTTAAACATCTTTCTAACTTTGTTTTTTGTTTTTGCTAGAAGCTTCTTTTGTTTGTACAGATTGCAAATCAATATTTATTATGGTTCATTCCATTACCTCTTTTTTTAACACCCTGTATACCTATGTTTTTTTTAAATATTATAGCTTGCTTATTATTGTTTTGTGGTCCCATCTTTAAAAAGAAGATAATTATTGTCATAAGGTTGATAATGAGTATAGAGTATAGATCCGAAAATAAGAGTATTTTATCATGTTGATAATAATCAATTGAACTTGGAAAATGTTGTCTTTTCTTGATTATTTTGATTTAAGTATAGTTAAGTAGGTATAGTTAAATGTCAAGAATGATGGACCTTAATTGCAATATTTACGTATTTTAAATTAGTTTTGACGTCTTAAAAAGTTTATTATTATTAATGTCAATTAAGGATTACTGAAATTTTTTATTATGACCTAGGGTCGGTTTATAGAAAGCGAATAAAAAGAATCAATTAATTAAGGGAACAAATAAAATGCACAGTATATTATTTAAACGACAAGTATTTTTAATCAGTAGAAATAGTAAATGTACAGGGTGCTGCATTTTGGATGTCCGAATAGGGAATCTCCGAAACTGGAGGTTTAGCCAAAAACGAGTGATACATTCTGGGGCTCATTTTTTGAGAAAATAATATTGGTGAAAACCGCATCCTGCTATCGTCTTTTGTTTTCGACTTACAATACTTACAAAAAAAAAATTATTTGGAAATTGACAAAAACATTTAAAACATATATTCATATATATTTTTAAGATCAGAAAAAAATAATCTTTTTAAAAATGTCATAGCCACCTGTGATTTCCATTTAAAAAAATACAAGTTTATCTTATTACTGGTAAACAAATAACTGAAAAAAATTATTAACAACATTATTAAATTCTACCTCTATAATGTCTTTGTTTCAAATCTGTATCTTCTATAATAACAAAGATATGATTTTTTTTAGATTTCGCTAAAATGTCAACTTTTGTCTGTAAGTCGAAAACAAAAGACGATTGCAGGATGCGGTTTTTAACAATATTATTTTCTCAAAAAATTAATGTATCACTCGTTGTTGGCTAAACCTATTAGTTTCGGAGATTCGCACATCCAAAATGCAGCACCATGTACAGTAAAAATAATATATGAACAGTAAAAATAATAAATGCACAGTAAAGGAAAAATGAATGTCGAGTAAAACTAATTAATTTAATATTCACACATTTACAAACAAAATGTTTTCGAGCAAAACTGGAACCAAGACTGAAAATTTTTGAAATTTTATGCTTTTTTTTAATTTTATTAAAGTTACTGAGCGTTTATTATTTTTACTGTGCAAATTGGATTTTATTACTGAACAAATTACAATAAAATACTGTGCGTGCTTTACTTAGCATTTATTATTTTTACTGTGCAAAAATTAATTAAATACTGATCATTATCATTTTATACTGATCAAAATTGAATTATTTACTGATCGCTTTATTACCTACAACCCATTCATTATCCCGTGAATCTGAGTAACTGATTGATTCAATGTCGTCATATGATCAATTAATGTGACGTTTGCAATTAACTTAATGACGCTTCTATAAAGTGACCCCTAAACTTAAAAACCTAAAATTTAAATTAATATCTACCGGGACCACATAGTATGAAATATAATTCAGATTATGAATATGATTCAGATTCTTTTATTACCTAGGTACATGATATTTTATATTAAAATTAAATATAACTGAAATGTAAGTATTTTGTTACTCTGATCAACAGTGGATCTCTAACTTTTTTTAATATTTATTACATCTGAAATAATCAGCAACTTACAGCTTAGCACTAGTTTTAAAGTAAGTAAGATTTTTTTTATTGTTGTTAAAATTGTATTGTTCTTTTTTTTTAATTGAGCGACGAGCATGAAGAGCAGAAGAATCAAATTTGCTGGATCTTCCAACGGGAGATGTCTATTCGTACAGAACACAAGCAGAAAAATGAGGTAGGTATTTAACGTTTTTCATTCAGAAATTTTATATTTTTTATTTAGACAATGATTTCCACCTTTTTGAGGAGGTTTCTTTAATTACTGTTAACTGTTCCGAGGATGGTGCAAAAACTTTAAATCTTGTTTAAATTGCTTTTTAAATCAGTGTTATTTTTACAAAAATTTTGCAATAAAATTTTGTTATAAAATTTCAGTGGCAACATTGTTTTTACACTATACATATATTTTTAAGCTTTCATGAAGGAAGGTAATTAATAAATTGTATGAATGAAATCCTGAACTATTCAGGGTGTTTTACACAACTTTACGAGGCTTGCGCCTAATATACGCACCCAAATATACAAAAATCACAAAACACTAGTTACAAAAAAGACACATTTAATTATTTAATTTTTGGAAACCTATGACAGTAATTGTCAAATTAATCACTGTTTCATTAATAGTCAGTTTTTCAGAAACAATTATCATTTGTTCTATAAAGAGACGACATGAATGTGATTCTAGTTTATCTATCTGAATCACTAACTAAAAATGTAATTTTTGAAAGGGTGAACAAACTAGAGAAGATTTTTCAATTTTTCAAAATTTGTAATCGAGTTCGTATCGGAATATGTATAATCAATAATACATCTTGCAGGCGCAGACCTCGTAAAATTTTGAAAAATACCCTGTATAAACAAAAAATAATGAAGTATTTTATTATGTAGGTGCTAATGTGTGTATTTCAATTTTATGGCTACACACTATGTTTCTGATAAAATATGTTTTATGAAGGTATAATTAGGTACAAACATTTGCAATATCATTAAAAAAACATAAAACTGATTATTTACTTAATTAATCCAATTATTTTTTCCAAATAGGAAACGAAGGAAAGAAGTTTTAAAACATAACAGATCTTTGGTAAGTATAGAGATCTGTCAATAAAAAATGTTTTAATCTTATTAATCAGTAAAAATTTTGATTATGAATTAAATTTTTTTTATTTTTTCAATTACTTACGTTTGTCTGCATACGAACTAAATAATGACATCAAATCACATCAAACCGCTTTATCGTTTGTAGGTTTGCAAATAAGTGATATTTCTAATGGTTTTATATAGCTATCTTTTTTATTATTCTTTGTGATACAAATATTTTTAATGATTTCCTAGTCACAGTCTTGACCAATCTTTTATTTTAATTACACCCGTAATGATAACATTAATCCCGCCTTCATTACAGTGGCGTGTGCAAATGAAATTTCACAAAGCTCTGGCCACTTTATTACCGTTTCCTATTCTTTGTATATTTATAATTAATACAAATCTATTGAGAATGCCGAGATTTATTTTGTGGCAAAATATTTAGGTTGCATGTGAGCCAATACTATAGCCCCGTATATTGCTTTCCTAAACAAATCGTAAAACTGTTTGATGGGCAAAAATTGGACATGTTTAGAGTTAACCGCTTCTTTATCTATCCATTAAAATTCAAACGACGATAATCGGTAATAAACCGAAACAATATCGTAGTTCATCTCCTAGACGAGACCTACAAGTTTGTAACCCCAATAACGGGGGCCGACCTATGACAGTTAACTGCTCGTAAAATTGCATCCTCTTGTAAACACAAGTAATACCAACGCTTTAATCACCCTTGATGGGATGAGTTTGGTCTTTAACAACGTCGACGTAGCGTCCATACGTCTTTTATACCAGCAAATGTTTAGAGGATGTCAGGAAAACGCATTCAACACCAGTGGCGTGCCCTATATTTCCCTCGCGCTGATTCATTACCCAAATATGCGCTGATTTAAGTCTAATTTATTGGTTCTACATGAAAACATCAAAGAATTTCGGATGGGCGATGACGTATCAGCGCGAAATTGGTTTACGTGTTTTTAATAATATTTTCTAATTAAAATAAACGCCAGGTTTTATTACGGTACGCAATTACTCACATGTGATTTATTAACAAAATTGTTTTAGCGATGCTTTCTAATTTGCGTAGTTCAATCGATTGACGCACGTTTAATTATATTTGATTTTTTAAAGAGTAGCGCAATGTCGGTAAACTAACTACTTATCTTTGATCGGGTGTAGAACCGGTGTAGATTATAAAGTGGCAAACTTTTATCGCCGTTAGTTTAATTTTTTTAATTTTGCCTTGATGCAGATGGTCACTAGCTCAGGACCGGACTGTATGTATTTGTTTAAAACAGACTGTCATACATTTTATTGAGAAAAATATGTGAAAACAAATTTAATGATTATTGGGGTTTAAAACGTAAATAGCATATGTATGTGTATTTTTTCTTCTCTAAAACCTAATAGAAGCAATAAACAGCATGCAAAAAATAACATTTAGATATTTAGTAAATAAACCAATATGCTTCACTTTTACTGTGAAACACGTCAATTATTTCTAGATCAATGTTAATACCTAGTTTATTTTTCAAAAATTTTTGTTTCAATAGCTATTTTTTTTCTGTAAAATTTATTTTTGGTTTGCTTTACTTTATTAGATTAAAAAATACAATGATTTTTTATTTTAATAATTACATTAGGCGGCTTATAACTTTTAAAACATTGATGAAAAGGCTTTTCTATTTACTTCACTATCCCTGAATATTTAAAACTCAATTTTATGTGACTACACAGAGAAATTTTAATTTTTCAGTTTTTATTTACACCGCAATCTTTACACAATTATGTTTTGGTGTAAAATTACCAAAATTAAACGGATTTGAAATTATAATTAAACGATTTTTAGGTCTATACAGGGTGTTTATGGTCTTGAGGTTGAAAGTTAAATGAGATGGTATTCACGGTAGAAGAAAACTAATACGCTATCTAAAACAAAAATTCACGTTGTAAAAGCAAATAATTTATTTTATATTATTTGTTTGAGAACTGCTGCTTCGGCTGCAATAATAGCCGTTAGTATCATTACCTTGTGTTTCACCGTAAATCATAATCACGACAACCAATTTATTATTTTAATATTTTTTGCAATCCATATTCATAAATTTGGAAAAAAATTAAGAAAAACGAATCAAACATATCGCTGGAGAAGATTAAACAGAAGATCTTTAAATTTTGATAAAACCTAAAGCAAAAGCAAAACAAAGATGACTGTGTCAAAACTATGAAGTGACTTTTTTCTTTTATTGTCATGGAGACGATTATTTTATTTGTTGCAACAATACAAGTTTATCTGACCAAGGAAATAATTCCAGTGACCCTCAAACCGTGTACCAATATTTTGGAGTTAAATAACATTCTTAATAATAACAATTGTGTGAGTTTTTTTTTCTCGGTTACAGTATTTCTGTACTCTTCTATTACTAGGTCAATTTTCAACTCCAAAACCGTAAACACCCTGTATTTAATAGATTCATTTCTAAAGTTTAAATCGAAAAGGAATCATGACTGTAAATGCGAGTACACACATTAGGTACTGTGTGCTCTGTGTAGATCAGTTAATATAAAAAAAGTGTCTTCAATAGATTCAAAACACAATTTGTTGTTTGTGCGATACCTGCAGACATTTGAAAACAAAAGACAGAATAAAATAAATATAACTGATTTCGTTTTTGATTTAACTTATTTCGTCACATTGACATAAAAATGAGGTTTTTGTTGCAAAATATTATTTCTTTCTGAACAGGCAAGATGATCACATTTATTCTGTAAACCTTTTTTGTAAATGATATTTTTTTGTCTAGATTTTATTAAGTTTTAGTTTGTTGATTTTAATTATGATTTAAGTCTTCAAATTACTCAAACGTCTTCACAAACTCGGCTATCTTACAAAATGATTTTTTGAGATTGAATATGTATTTTGTTCACAATAAAATATTAACTTTGTGAAATTTTTTGGCCTTCTTTTGTGCCTTTTTGCCTTCTCTTGTGAAATTTTTTGGCCGTCTAATAGGTATGTATTGAAAATCAGAAATAAAACGAATATCATGATTAGTTTTAAACAAATTTTGTGTGTACAGTGCAGTTAATGTTCTAATAAGACAGTGAGCCCGAATTTTTTGTTATTATGGAAACATGTTATGGTATTATAATATGGGCTCTGTGAAGAATTCGCTTGTATCTTGAGCGGTTGTAAGTTCAGCTGGAACACAGATTTGTGTCGGCAGTGAATTATCGAGTTTTATGCTAAAGTTTATTGGAGCAGCGCTCTCATAACTCTCATTTATTTAAGTGTCGTATAATTTTTTTCTTGGTTTTTATTTTCTTATTTACACGGTATTTCAGCTACTTGCGCGTAAAACACGTCGACAATGTCCATGCGCATACAGCGGAATCGTTGATTGAAAATGCACTCATGTCCAGTGAAAGGCTCAACTGAGACGGTGAACACCTGATTAATAACCCCACATAAAAGTCACATGCTAATGTGAGCATGTTATTAGTATGTAATAAAGTATATAGTTATTCATTCGGGCAGTAATTCTCGCTGTGGGGTTCCAGCGAACGCCCGCTGTTAAACCTCACCTTTAATGGTATTATTTATGCCCCTCGCAGGGGTCGCAGCCGAGGACCTCGTAGATATCGACTAGGACACGATATGAGGACTCGCGACGATGAAAACTCATTTCATTACACGAATTTCGGACGATTCGTGAGGAATGTGAGGATTCCAGGACCGTCAGCCGGCAATTTCTCCTGATTTATGAGTCCTAAAACTTGATAAAAATGCTAATAATACCTGATTTGCATAGATACTTTATTACGACGCCACGAGATTTATCGCACTAAACACCTGTTCGTAACCAAATTTGACAATCGAATTTTAATTAAAACATGTACACATACTGAATAAATAAAAATATCAAACGAGTCAAACATGGATTTACTACGAATAAATCAGGATAACGCGCGCGAGATCCGACATTTCGTTTATTTTTCTTTGATTTAATCCCCCTAAGAGAGGTTTGTTGTTTGTGTGTGGTCCAACACATAAATGTTAATAACGATATATCATATTTTCTACTTCTACAACCTGCTTTTGCTAACTTATTTAATGCGTTTTTAACCCGTGTTTGAGACAGCAGGGGAGCGCCTATAAGAACCCCCCAATTCACAACACCGCCTCTCCTTCTTTTTTCACACCTAGAAGCTTTCAGACCATAAACATTATTAATCATTCACAAAGTAAACCTGATTTCATTGCGACCAAGCATGAATCTTTCACATGTCAAAAATTATCTCGGCGTTTATTTTTAATTTTATAATTATTAGCCTCGTAAAACTTTACTGTCTTCATTACAATAAAAAATATGTTAAACGTTTTTTTTTTCGTTATTGAGTAAATAACGATTTAAAAATTTGAAAAATGGGAAAAAACACAAAATCTTGCTTGCGTTGAGTAGGTGTAAATCGAGAAAATACCTTGATTTATTATCTCTCTTAGAAATAAATTTAGGTATTATAAATACAAATTTGGCTAAATTTCTAACTTGATTGTAACAATTTTTCATATTTTTTGTATACATATACCTTTCTATTTGTATTCTTTTTAGTTACAGTGATAAATAGCGAAAATAAATTTGTGTTAAGTAAATTTTTATAAATAATACATTAAATAAGAGGAACAATTTGTAAAAATAAAATCAAAATATAGTTACGTAAAAATACAGCTTTCACTAGAATTCTTTTCTAGGAAATGGAAACCATTTTATGATTATTGATTCTTTTATCATAAAATAAATTATGCAAGGTACTGTAATACATATTATATTCAGCTAAATTTATGATTAGAGTGTCTATAATACAACAAAATGACGTGTCATAAAAAGCAAATCGTTTTTTAATAATAAAATGTCTTCTTTTGCGGAAGTTTCCAGTTAGCATAATGGCAATTCTGAATGAAGTTTGTCGTCACAGTTCCAGTAGATGCACTCGTCATACTTTTCTTGATTTTATCATTTTTGACGGCTGTGTGTAACAAACACCCATCATAATTTATCTTAATTTGTCCGAGCGAATTTGAATAAATTTATAATTCCACAACTAGGACCATTAAAATGATTAACGATTAATACTTTTTTAATGTGTGGAATTTATAAAAATTTATATTTATTATATTTCGTATACTTTAAATCGGAATGTTCTTTCGTTACAAGCAAAATTAAAGCCGGGACTCACACGATTTATCACTAAACATAAAACAGTCAAGTAGAATAGATTGGCGATTCGTCACGTGAGAAAATTTGGTGGCACTTTAAAAATCGAATATTTCTAGGCCATTTTTCCTTATTTGTGTAAGAATGATTGCTGCGCGTTTATTATGCGATGCACAGGCAGAAAAAGCGCATTTATCAAACCTAATGGTTCTATTGCTGACCATTGTAATAACCAGCATCGTGAAGAGCATTACGAAAAGGCAAATGGCTGGTCCGCTTTACTAGTATAAGGTCCTGAAATAAGAAATATGAGAAATTATTCTTGTCTCTGCGTGAATTCAAATTACTATTAAGCTGACTGTAGTAATCGTATAGTTGTCGTAAATACTTGGAAATATCACTTTACACTTTATTATGGGTTTTATGATCATTATTAATATTATGATTACAGTTTATTAAAATTGTCGTTGATGTATATTTTACACGAACATTCTGATTCGCCTCCTGGTTTTGAACGAGCAAAACTCATGTTAGCCTGACGATCAGGGAAATTAAAAAAGACTAACAACCGCAGATAAGATTTTATTGAACTAATTTACATAAGCGCTCGTAGTGTAATTGAATTTTCTATAATCGATGGTGTGATAACGGACGTAGGCTTCAGAGAGGTGCACGAGGACGTAGTACATACTTTCAGGGTCGGCTTCAGGCCAAACTTCCCGTTTTTCCCTTGGTTTCCTACCGTAGGTTTGCCTTGTCGGCCTCTGCAACTTAACAGGTCTTCGAGTAGGCCTCCGTCGTCTCCTCCTAGTGGGCCTAGGTCGGAAGAAAGCAGCCCCAGTAGGGGCCATCGTCGTCATTTCCATCATATTCATCATAGTTTTCCCCTTGATGGCTTGCACCAAAAGACATAACAAATACCCTCCGAAAGCAAGAAAAGCTAAAGTCGTGACGGAAATTTGGAAAATGCTTTGTACACTTTTTTTGCCACTTTTCTTCGAATGTTCTTCTTCATAGTGGTGATGATAGCCGCCTCTATCGTTGGGTTTGCGTTTGGACTGAAGGGCTAAAGCTTCCGGCTCACCCACTCTTTTATCGGCTTTTTCCTCAGTTTTCGGCTCTTGGAACGTGGATTTAACTTGTAGTAGTTTTTCTAAGGGAAGTTCACTCAAAGTTTTTACATCGACTAACGCAGAAATGTCTTGAGTGGTCACTGATTGAAAAACCATTAACACTGTTGACACAATGAAGAGCATCTTCGCGACAGTGACACCGCAAGAACATTGACTTTGAACCATTAATGTGTTTAAAATAGCTCGGAGAAGGAAATAATTATCTTAAGATTTATCTACACATGAGAGACCATGCGAAGTTCAGACACCGTTTAGCCCTCAACTCACCAAGATGCTCGCGGTTTTATTTCTTCTTTTGGTTGTTTCTTCAAAAGCTGAAGAAAGAACAGTTTTCGGGAAATTAAAGTCAGGGTTTCAACTCGCAGGAAAATTACTGGGGATTGACCAGGCCAATGGGGTAGCTCAGCTAGTGACCGAAGCTTTTGGGAAAGCTCAGAAGAAAGGGGATGGAAGTGAAGGAACAAGTAACATTTTTTCAGGATTTTTGAGGGTGCTTGGGTTCGACTCGAAAAAAATTGGAGCTATTGCTGTCAACGCAATTATTTTTGTAGCCCAACTGGTAAGTTTTTTTGTATTTCTATTAGTTTTCCAATGACGATTTTTAGATAAGTTCTTCGTTATCACGCCCTTCTGTTCCTCAATTAACCGAAGCTAGGGCTCTGAGAGAAGGATCACCTCTTGACTGGATGATGGGTAGTCCAGAAGTGATCCGAATGTTCTCTCATATTAAAGATAAAGAATTACCAAATCACATCGTAATGTACATTAAGGAACGCTCTTTGGATGAAGATTCAGACTGTGTACAACTTCTAGTTTGTAAAAGTGCCCCTTTTATATGGGGGATGCAAAAAGTGTTAGATGGGAATACCAATAGTTCTGTCAAAGGTACAAAATCACTATACGCTTATTTACCCTCTTTGGACGAAGTAATCGATTATGCCGACGAATGTGATAAGAAACACCCTTATTGTTTTATACATATTTAAAATAAAACACCTTAGTAGGAAATAAAATTTTATTTAAGAGCCAAAAGTTAACTCTAAATCGTGACATAACTGGTGTTTGACATGAGATCTTCCACTTTTAAGGTCACACAAAATTTGGAGTTTACATTTACGGTCACAGGTTGGTCTCACTGGACTGTCTCTATAATAATGTCTGAAATTTCGGAATTAAGGGGCATTTTACGAAAAAGCTAGAAACACTCACTTGTAAAATAATTCGAATAAATCTGGGTTTTCGACTAGGTCGTTTATGAGTTTTGCCCAAGCTTCCGGTCGGAGAGAATCCATTTTGTAGGCATTTTTAGCCGAGTATAATCGATACCATTTCGAGTCACTGTTCTTCTTATTGGCCTCCTCTAAGTCAATAGTCCAGGTTTCATGATCCAGTATTTCCTACAAGAACCAGTAGTTATTCAAAATATTTTTTTGTTGATTGGTTTTACTCTTGTAGTATTTTCATGGTCACCATCTACATAATATATGCGATAAGCTGGATTGTGATCCTCGAAAGTTGTAACTGAAGGTCCCAAATAAGCTACACTGATTGGTCGGCCTGTAAATTTTAAAGTTTTTTTATATTTCCGTCGGAATTTTGGATTTTTCTCTTCTCCCTTACTACTTTCTTCAACGTCGTACAAAACTTCAAATTCATCTGCGTGTGTGTGACCGTAGAATTGAGCTTGGATCGTGTTTTCATACCGTTCTATTATTTTATTGAAGTTGCGGGACCACACTTTCATACAGTCGGAACTTCCAGGTGGAATATGACCTAAAATTCGTTTCAAAATTGACACAGAAATAATTTAGAGTGTTGTACCAATAAGATGGACTTTCTCGCCCTTATTTTCAGCTTCTTGCAACTCGTGCACTAGCCATTTTAATTCTTTAGCAGGATCGGTACTGTTGACTACAAGCCACCTAAAATCAAGTCTAATTTTTTATACACAAACTTTGTAAAAATTACCAGCTAAGGGTGTGACAGTAGTTCATATTAAGTGAAATAATTCGGAATCCGGGTCTGATTAAAACAGAATAGAACCCTCCATGGAGTACCGTATTTCCTGCACTAGCTGGTAACCATTTCCTCCAATGGTCAGCCACCTTGGTATACAACCAAGCGATGGACCTGTCGGGATCTTGGACCCATGGTGGGGCGAAACTAACTCAAAATCTCAAATACTTCAACGATTTATATTAAGGGAACGTACCTTCCAGCTGGGATAGATTCATGGTTACCTAAAGCAGGAAAAATGGGAGTGTTGGGGAAATGTTCAAACATTTGCTCCACAGTTTCACTGAGTATATCCAAGTTGCTTTGTTTGGTCTGGTTCCAAATGTCATGAGGAGGCAAGTCGCCAGTCCAAATAACATAATCTATATCCTGTCAAAAATTAACAAATGTTTACAACAATTCAGAAAACACTTACAGGATGTTCTTCCGCTATGTTTTTCAACATGTTGTCAATCAAAATTTTTGGTGCGTCACACTTTTGGTAACTCCCCCATTTTCCGGCTGGTACTACTTGACCAACCAAAGGTGGAGTACTGGTACTTCTGCAACAGAGAGGCTCCTCGCAGTTGGCCACACTACCAACGACATAATCGGGGTCAAAGTGTGTATCAGAAATTTGCAAAACCTTGAAAGTCGGCAAACCGGCCTGAAAATCAATACTAAGTACTTGGGTTTTTCCTGAAGTTTTTTTAACACTTTTGGTAGGTCGCGTTTAGTGATGTTTGGTTTGGGAACATCAGGAAATTCCACTTGCCACTCGTGGAGAGGGATTTTAACATTGCCGCAGACTTCTCCAAGGACTAGAGCGCAGATCTCGTCAGGACCTAACAAATTTTCAATGAAATATAAAAAAAATCTTCGGGTTTTACCAATTTGTACGACTCTGAGTGCCGGCAAGACATCGGGTCCAAAAACATCGAAAATTCCAGTGCACACGTCCTCACTTTCGACTTTGAAGGCAACACAAAGTCCCACAAATTTGCTTCTAATGTCCTCAAAGCTCGTATTCTTTTTGACTTCCTTTTGTAAGAGGCCCACTCCTGTGGAAAAGTTTATGGAACAAGATTGAGGTGACAATGAGAAACTTACCTAATCTACATATCGGGCAAGAAACTCGTGCTCTAACAGCATCTCCGATTTTTTTAGCGACTCGTTCTGGTAGTGGAGCCGGCTTGACGAACTTCTTCTCCGGTATCTCGACCTACGAATTATTTAAGTGTGTGAAGGTTGTGTAAATGAATCTCTAACCTTGGTTGGTGGAGGCAAATTATGATTTTTTGACGATTCGCTCAAAACTGGCATTTTATTTGGCTCGACTTTGTAGTTCCAGTCATCTTTGAAATTGCTTACGTTCACTTCGGCTATAGGAGTGGCTTCTAGAGGAAATTAAAGAACGTACCACATAACATTGCGAAAGTTTAAAGATGTTACATAATTCATTTATTTACAATTAAAATGTAAATTCAATTACAATTCGTGTGCCGATTTTAAACGATTCAAATGGCAATTATAGTTCAAGTAACACGTTACTTACCTGTTTTTAAAGTTTGGTGTTTAACTACTAGAAGAAATAGGATGACCGGAAGTTTGGTTTCCTGGTTTGTGAGTTCATTAGTTCGAGGATATTATGTAAAAAACGAAAGGACTCACCATCTTGTCTCTACGAGTTTTCACTTGCGAATCAAGAAGAATTATTTAAACCTTAATATTTTATTCTGTAGTTCAACATTCAAGGCTGTCCACTAAATACAAACTACACATCGTTGATTCTGGGTATGTTTAATAATAATACAAACATTAACAATAACAAACGTTTATACAGGAAGCTTACCCTAATTAATGTCTAGTTTCGATTTGTTATAACGTCGCGAGAACGCAAGAACATTTTAAATGTGTGTCACATTTACACAAATACATTTTATTTTTATTATCTATCTTCCTACACTACCAATACTCATTTTTTAATTAATTATATGGATTTTCTATGTACGATTATTACTTCAACGATTTTTTTTGATAACTAGTTATTGTTAGAAGTACCTAATCTATAATAAATTACTTATTTAATAAATTATGTATAACATAGTTATACGTCAGGAAATGTATGTTCAAAAATATTTGTTGTGAATGTTGTAATATCGAGTTCTTGCTTCCTTGGTTGTGATACCTGTTTAATTAAAGTTGCGCTTGGGTTCCCAGTTTAATTGTGACTACAATTTTGCATTATACTCTTGTCACAAATTATCTAACAAAAACGGAATTTGTCTAATAATATGCAGGTACTTATTACCTTTTTCGCAGTATTTTACATAATTTCCGACACATTTCACGAGTAAAAATATGTTCAAAATTTTAAAATTATTTAGAATAGGTATTTTTGAGTTAAATTTTGCCAGAAACTACATTCAACATTTTTTTCTACAGCCGTTAAAAAGAATTAAAGTGCAATCAATGTGAAAATAAAATAATCTTTTCAATAATACTTTGTTTTAATGTTTTCCAACTGAAAATTTGAAAATGTTGTGCTGCAATCTACATTTTGTAGCCTTCACTTCGGATCTCTACTTTTCTCATACGTTTGTGGTTGTTGTCACTTGTCAAACATGTGTCAGGCTATAACCTCACTTTTGCAATGTCACGCGTGGAATTGGGTTTTTCCGAGGAATGTGAGCCATGGCAAGTGGAAAGTTATCAATTCCCGACGAAAATAGGCGGAAAACCAGCTTGGCTCGACTTAGAAAATTTGCCAAAGCCGGAGGATCTACAATGTGAGACCTGTCATGAGCCCTTGATTTTTCTGTGCCAAATCTACGCTCCCTACGAGGATGACGACCAGAATTTTCATCGGACGGTTTTCCTTTTCATTTGTAGAAACCCCGAATGTTGTGTGAGGAACTCCAGTAGTAATGTGAAAGCGTTCAGAAGCTCATTACCAAGACGCAACAAATTTTATTCATTTGAACCGCCACCAGAACGCCGAAATTCGGATTTTTTCTTATCAAAATGGGTGTCTTTATGTAACCTTTGTGGTTGTTTAGGGGAAAAAAAGTGTGGCAAATGTAAAAAAGCCACATATTGTAGTAGAGAGCATCAGGTACTTGACTGGAAACAAGAGCATAAGAATGAGTGCGAAAAAGGGGAAACACTTGGACGAATTTCGTCGAAATTGTTCCCTCAGTCTATGATAGTGACAGAACCTGAGGAAAATGATGAAAAGACTGTGGATGAAAGTGAGGAAGTTGAAAAATTCCATCAGCTAGAACGTGAAGGCAAAACGGGTACAATGGGTGATGTATCAGATAAAGACCTGGAAAAATATGCTATATGTGACAGTGATAAGGCATTTACACGTTTCAAAAAACGAATCAGTGATAACAATGAGCAGATTTTGCGATATGAAAGAGGTGGAGAACCTCTATGGATTGCCACTGACCCGAAACCTGATAATATTCCCAACTGTGAATATTGCGGGAGTCCCAGACAATACGAGTTTCAAATCATGCCGCAATTATTCTTTATCTTGCATGAAAATGACTTGGATGTGGGAATTATTATTGTTTATACTTGCAAGGAAAGTTGTACTACTGGTGATAACTACAAAAAGGAATTTGTTTTCAAACAGGACGTTAAGTAATTATTGATTAAATCAATAAATATTTTCTGCATGTTGCATCAATTGGATAAAAATGGATGAGATAAAATTTTGTTTGTCGGATAAGTGTTACGTTAGAATCTAATCTTGTAATCATTACAAATAACAAGTAATTGAGTTTTTGTAAAATTTGATCAATAAACCAATAATTTGAGATATTTTGTGTTTTTCTAATCAAAGTCAGGGTGGTAAGAAATCGTTTAATTGCAATAATTTAATTGTTACACAATATATAATGACACAAGCAACCTTTCTCACGGGAAAATTTAGGCTGATAATAAATAATAAAAAATAAATACTCAATTGGCACAACCCTGTGAAAGCTGTTAGTAAGTTAAGTACGGCAAGATTTGTACTAAAGCTATTGAAGTGACTAATAAAATAAATATAGCAACCTGTCATCTAATACAATAAATAATGGATGGTTTTATCACATAAGTAATTTCAAGAATGACTCCTTAAATTTTCGAACTGCATAATTAAGGAATGTGTGCCCCTTGTCTCCAGTTCGTCATCTGAGGCATCGCACAACTCAGCTAGAGACCTAGCAGGCTTCAGACTAGTTGAAGCTAAGCTATTTTCTTCAGTCAAATCTTCACTGCTATACATCATAGACATGGACCTCGCTGGCTTCAAATTCGTTTCTACCACTGCTTCCCTCTCCAAAGCTGCCATTAAATCAGGCTGCGACTTCCTTCGCTCCCTCCTGAGTTCCTCTTCCCTCTTTTGAAACTCTTGTAGCTCCCTTTTCATTTTTTCCTCAGCTGGAATAAACCCATTTCGGATCGGTTTCCCCGCCTCTATGGTAACTCTCGCCGGTTCTTCGAAGACTTGATCGGACGTCCATGCCGTTTGGGGCTCAGTTTTCGGCCTCATGTTCACCATGTTGAGCTTCCCACGCATTTTTAAGAATTTCTGCATCACGCCCTTGGAGGAAGTATTTGGGGCAAACCGTCGGGTGCTACTTGTGTTTGTCACAGGAGGTTTAGGGACTGCCGTACCGTTAGTTAGCGGAATGCGTGGGGGCTGTGTCGGTTCGGGACTAGGAGTTTGGTACCCGTTTACATGCACGTCGGGGTCATTGTTGTTAAGTATGTTGTATTTTTTGCGTAATTCTTCTTCGCGTTTGAGGGTCTCTTGGATTTCCTGCTGGATACGGTCCAGAGTTTCGTTTCCTGTCGATTCCATGTTTTAATCAGGACACCTGTTGATGAACTTGTAATAAAGCACCCACTAACACATATCTTACCTCTACGGCTAACAAGCACTGACATCACTTCACTTTTTGGCAGCCATCGTTATCTCTAATTAACGCTTTTTATCAATACCTAACACGGTTTAAAGTATGCTTGCGCGGCACAAAGATTTCATGAGAGATAAAAACCGTTGTTGGGTGTATTTTGGGTTGCCTGTCTTAGAAAACTCAGACGTACGTCGATGATTGTTTCAAACCAACTTTATTAAAAACAATAAAATTTTACTTAGTTTTATAAAGTAGACCATTTACAGAGACTTAAAATAGTAACGTTTTGCCTCTCAGAAGTGAGCTTCTTTGATCGTAAAAGAATTTTGATGATTCTCAACGATGGTCTTAGTAACCACATACGTCCCCTGGTACAAATTTTTGGAAATATCTGTCACAGAGGTCATGGACCAGGATCCCATTTACAGGTTCAAAAAGTAGAACACTCATGGTATTGCACCCATGGTACAGTTATTTAAATAACATTTAGTGTCTTCTGAACACTAGATGGCGCCCATTCTAACGTCGATAACTGACATTTCACAGTGACATACTTTCCAGAAGCAAGTGAAAAATTGCAGTGATGACTTTAATAAATCCAGACGAGTTTAAAAACCAGAACAGTGATGGGGGTCCTGACGCCTCCATTAAGGTGCGTACCCCCAAACGTATATTACACTTCAGCGACGGCATTTTGGAAGAATACAGCGATGATGAAGTTGACAACACCCCTCAACAAGAACAGGCCTTGGTTGATCCCGTAAGTTGTGAAATCTCCGCTAGATGGTGCTTGTAACGCAGTGTTTTAGACTTCTTTAACGTGGGGGCCCTGGCTATGGTACAAGACTTGGCGTGCAGGTGCCAGCACGTTGGCGGTGGTGGACTCAATGGGGGAGTTTTTAGCTGCATTTTTCGGGATTACCACCCCCAAGTATTACTTTGAATTAGAAGAGTACAAGAGGAGAGAAGCGGAGATGAAAGCTGAAGACGAACAAAAGAAAGGATGGTCTGAAGCTCCTAATACTGAGGGTTTTAAACTGAATGAGATTACTACGAAACAACCACAACCTGTGGACGTTTAAGGGATGTTTCAGGTATATGTTGAGGACATTTATTGACGAAGAAAGTGAAAATGTAAATTGAACTGAATTATGCAACCAATTATACAATTCATCTTTGTTTCATCACTCTTATATTTTTTTGTTACGTTTGTATTACATTTTATTTATGTATTTTTTTTTATTTATTACCCATTGACCGTAAATTTGATTGATTATCGAGGTTTTGGTAGTTTTGTCGTGGCGTCGGAGTATTGAAAGCGAGAGTGTGAAAATTACCATTTTAAATAAAGTAAAAAGGAGGGCAAGACGTTGGCAGTCAGCTGAGCGCTAAGTGGGTGTATTTTTAAAAAGAGATTTCTTCAGTCAACTCGTGCTCCACTCTAAAGCACTAAAACAAAGTTGGAATTTTAAACAGCAATTTAAAAGCTGTTCCGCGGCGCGCTCGCCAACTTTTTTCAAAAAGGAATAAGAAAAAGCCGTAAAGAACCATGACCTAGCCCTACTACTCGGCTTTAGTACGCTACTGCTACGCAAGACGTCGTCGACGACTCTCTCATTCATAATTAGTGAGAGTTTTTAAACGGCGTGGCTCGATCCATCGAGATGACGTCAGCCCCGCATTGTCGACAGACGCCTGAACTCGTGGAAATTATTACTGAAAGTTTTCTTCGTTTGTGTTTTTAAGTGTGACGCTGAACGAGTGACTTCTACGGCTGATGGCTGTTGAAGCCTTCCAGGAGAAATTTCGCATGGAATAATCCCTAATTCTATCGTTCGTCCAACTTCTTGAAACATTCATTAAAATGTCCAAAGTTTTTTTCTTTATTTTAATTTGATAAGTTTATTCCGGATGTTTCCACTTTCAACTTTTTCGTATACAAAGGATTTCTTAAACATATCAGGTATTTTTCGAGGTGAAACATAATAACAGAAGAAACTCGCGTGGTCTGAAATTTTGTTATTATTTATGTTTGGTTGACGGGCGTGTATGTAAACGCTCACAATGCTGTCATCAACATTTTAACGTGCTTTGTTCGTTTTTCTTTAAAGTGGGAATTTTTATAGTATGAATGGTACTAATAGCATACGAAGTACGCAAAAGTATTTTTTATTTGATACTGTCTGGTAGATCCAGTTTGGAAAAATAGATATTTTATTTAAACAAAATATTAATAAAATAACTGATGGGAAAAAAACTGAGCTTATGGCGTATTTTTGCCCTTTTTGGATTATTGAAGATTGATTTTTTTTGTTTTTTTTATTAGTAGTAATATCGTTTAGTACATAAAATACACGTTTAACGAAGAAGAAATAGTTATGACAAGAAGAGATGCAATTGTCAAACTTTGTGTTGCTGTGTTTTTACCTCTACTCTTGCCATTGTTTTTGTCCGGTGCATTAAAATCATATGGTGGATCTGTTGGAATAGGTTCGAGTCCTCCGCATAAGGAGGTATATTTTGAATTACATTTTAAGTTGTCTGGGCATTCTGAACAAGGTTTTCCTCTCTTATATACTTGCCCCCCAATTACATTAACTGCTGCATATTTACCTTTCAAAACCGTAATGTCATAGTTGCAGAGTAGAGTTTGCACAAAGGCCTCGTAAATAAACTTAAGTTTTTTTGGATCTTTTGTATATGAACGAGCACATCCTATTTTATTAATCGTCGACCAAACCACTGTTGTAAAATGTCCAATAAATTTTCCATGCTCCAGAGTGTGGAACTTGTCGATTATATCAGGTTGCAAATCCGTGATTTCCTCGTACCTGTCAAAATCGAAATAGACAAATTACACTTTTTTAAAAAACATACCAATCATTGATAAATTCTTTTACCAAAGCAAAAGAGTAATCTTTTACGCTTTGACCAGCTAAATTCTGTCCAGCATCTCGACCACTAGGCATTGTTCTACACTTATCGTGATAACCGTTAAATGTGCTTCTCAGATAACATCGACTTATGTATTCCAGTTCTAAATCATAATTAACAACCATCATGTCGGATGCCGAAGAAGCACCATTTCGCGTATCTGCTCCAGAAGCAATTTTATTTCTTAATTTGTTGTGTTCCTCTACCACAATTTCACGAAATTCAACCATTTTGTCGAGTCCTACTTCTTCACGTCCTTCTCCCGGTGTACAATTGCAAGCCGTATGGACTACATTTCCTAGCTCTGGGCATCGCATATCACAGTATTTCCTTTTTCTTGGGTCAAACTTTTCACCATAGAGGCAGCTGAAGCATGCTGCAATGCATAAAATGGATTTAAACATCGTATATAATTATGATGCAATTTTTCAAACACTATCTATTTATAAAAGTGAAAAAAAATGTAAAAGAAAGTGTCAACACTAGTGCCAACATAAATTCAACACATACTAGATTAATATACACGATCAGAAAGAATGACACCCCTATAAACCCGGCCGGCTAGCAAGGGGCTGAACACAAACCGCAACAAAAAATCTTTTGGGTCATAAGCATCAACAAACATTCCTTCGAAGGTTTCATCGGCTGGGAAGCATGTCTTCGTGCTGTTACCTTTGTAATCGAGTAGATTAATAAATGCAATTAATTCGCTATTTTCTCAAAATGATTAAAACTATATTATACGTATTTAGACTAGGAATTATTTGATGTGTCAACTTTTTAAGTAAAGTAAGATTTTAATTTTCTAATTAATATAAACACTTTCTATAGATTTCCAACGCAACAAAGTAATTTTTCGTGTCGCCGATTAACTAAGAGTTGATTTACATAGAGTTCCTATATTTTCTAATATAGGAACTCTAGATTTACAGAAAGCAAATTAAAATTTAATAATTTGAATTGTTGTTGAAATTAGTAACAAATCAATATTTGATTGCAATTATAAATGTTGTCTAAACGTTTTCTATAAGGGTTTTAATTTTATAATTAAAAAATAGTAACATCATCGAAATTGCATTATTTTTAAAAGCTAAACGCCTTCGCATTTATTAATCTACTCGATTACAAAGGTAACAGCACGAAATCATGCTTCCCAGCCGATGAAACCTTCGAAGGAATGTTTGTTGATCTTTATAATCCAAAAGATTTATTGCTGCGGTTTGAGTTCAGCCCCTTGCTAACCGACCGAGTTTATAGGTGTGTCATTCTTTCTGAACGTGACTGTACCACGTAACGTGAATCCAAGTGCCTTTAAAAAATAAGAACTTTCAAATTGTATTTATACTGAAAAATGACTAAAAAACGTAAATTATATATATTTGCTTTGCCATCTCTTCACATTTGGGAAGTTTGGAGATTCTGTCTTCACTGTTGTTCATTTACATGAAAACCTTTCAGAAAGTCTTTGATTAATTTGACTTTCAAGTTTTGATTAGAGCCACCCATGAGCCACCTGATTTTTATAGTTTATGAATTTTTCCATGAAAACGTTTGTGTTGTGAATGGTGCTAAACAATTAATTTTTGAAACTTTTAAAGAATTCTGTAGACTTTTTTGAAATTTTTTATTAATTTCAAATGGTTCAGTACATAAAATACACCATTAACATTGATAAAGAACAAATCATAACTAAAGGCGTTTCTTCTTTAAAACTTCTGTTATCTGGGTCTAGTTTTTCCATTTTTTTCTCTGCAGGTTTCTTTTTTGCGGCTTTTTTCTTTGATTTTTTTTTGGCTGAGACTTTTCCGACTGGGGGTGATTCAGGTGGGATTTGTTCGCCTGCCGGCTTTTCAGGTAAGTTTTTCCCGGAGGGGGGTTGAGATTGTGCTGGGGGTTGGGATTGTGCTGGGGGTTGGGATTTGGCTGGGGGTTGGGATTTGGCTGGTGGTTTGGATTGTGCTGGCGATGGAGTTTTTGTAGGCTCTGGCTTGGGTGATGATGGTTTTTTTTTGGGTTTTTGTTTTGATTTTGGTTCTGGTTGAGCATTTTTTTGCTCTTTATAAGGTTTAATATTTGGTTTAACTAACCCACTGTCTATTGCATCAAAATTATATGGATTTTCTTCTGTAACAGGTTTGAGTTCTCCACATAAATTGGTCAATTTTGAATTACATTTATAGTTGTTGGGACATTGTGAACAAGGATCTCCTACTGCATTCACTTTACGCCCAATCACATTAACTCCTACTTTTTTATCATCTCCAGGAAGCGTACTTCCATAATTACAAAGCATAGACAACACAAAAGACGGGTAAAAAAATTTGAATTGGTGTGCATCACGGATAAGTAAGAAACCACATCCTACTATATCAACCTCTGCCCAAATCAATGTTGTAAAATGTCCAATACTACTTCCAATTGACCCAAGACGAAAGCTTCTGTATATGCTTCTTTCCATATTAACGATTTCGTCGTACCTTCAGAATGAAATTGAAATAGTTTACATTCATTTTTTGAAACTTACCATCCATTAATGAAATACTGCACAAGTGCTTCTTGGGTCACTTCTACATCCATTCCTCCAGCATTCTGACCTAATTTTCGGCCGTTAGACATAGTTCTACACTGATCATGATATCCGTTAAATCTACTTCTTATATAACATCTTGCTAGATATTCCAGTTCTAAATTGTAATTAATCACCATCATGTTGGCTGTTGACAATCGATAACGAGATTCATTTCCAGATGCAAAAAAATTTCTATATTCATTGTGTTTATCAACGATTAATTTGCGTACATTCTTTGCGAAGTTTGCCAAATCATATTCTTCACGTCCTGGTGCCAGCTTACAGTTACAACCCGTGTGCTGTATGTTATTACAATACATGCTACAATAATCAATTTTCGTGGGGTCAAACCCTATAGATGCCGGAGCCAGCGGACCGGGTTCTTGTCCATGTGTGTAACTTAAACACGTTGCAATGAATAAAATTGCTTGGAACATGATTTTGATGGAATTCACAAAATATATGTCACTTCATTCAAAAAAATGTTTCATAAACAAATTTGACACACTGAAAATATGCGATAGAAACCGCTTAAAAAATAATAGACAAGCAATAGTAAAAAGCTCAATTCCAGTTGGATTTATGCACCCAGAAGAAATGAAGTTACGATGTCGAAGTTTTTGTAACATCTTTTCAGTATACAAAATAACTATATTTTTTTAGCAAAAAACAAATAAAATGTGTGGCCATGGTCGTGGCCCTGGAAGTTTGACTTGGCAATTTCTGATTAAAACGACATACTTTAGGTATTTTTTAGGAGTAGATATTAATAAGTGTTTTTAAATACTCCTTTCTTCTAATAAGTTGAACATAAAACTTTTGAATTCCATGATCAGTGTTTTCAGCTTTTTTAGCTTTTTATATTTTTGAGGTAACTACAAAACATTTATTTTTTGAAGCAATAGGATCTCACATTTTTGAGTATTTTTTCTAAATTGTCGAGTTCAGTCTTTGTTGTACAAATTAGTTTTTTTACTGGCAAATTGCAATTCTGTCACTATTGGCTTAACTTGTTGCATTATTATTATTAACGTAAATATCTATTGGGTTTTTGCACCAGCAGATGGGAAATGGGATGGATCAGAGATTTTGAACACATTTCTTGGGTAGTGCCAATTTATTGATTTTGTAAAAAAATGTTATGCAATCGTTAAATAAATTGTTATTAAAATAGACGCAAAATAGCAAATGTCACAACAAAAATGGTTCTTTTTCCGAATGTTTTTGTTGGTGAGTTACTAAATTCATACGCAGGATCTGTTGGAATAGGTTTAATTTCCCCGCACAAAGCGGTGTATTTTGAATTACATTTAAGGTTGTATGGACATTCAGTACAAGGTATACCTGCCTTAAATACAGGCTGTCCAGGCAGATTAATTTCTGCAAATTTTTCATTCAGAATTGTAATGCCATAATTGCAGAGTAGAGTTTGCACAAAGTCCGGGTTTATAAAGCCTTCTTTTTTTGGATCTGGTGTATATACTCGAGCACAGCCCAGTATATTAACTTGCGACCAAGCCATTGCTGTAAAGTATGAAACGTGCACTTCGTCCGGAAAATGTGACTTGTTGAACCATTCGTACTCCATATATGAGATTTCATCGAACCTGTCAAATAATGCAATCAAAATAGTCGATTTGCACCTCTTCACACTTACCATTCATTGATAGAATCTCTTACCACGTCAAAAGAGTAATCTTTTTCTTTTCTACCAGCAAGATTTTGTCCAGCTTGTCGGCCATTAGACGTTATTCTGCACTCGTCATGATACCCGTTAAATCTGCTCCTCAAATAACATCGACACATGTACTCCATTTCTAAATCGTAACTAATAGCCATCATGTCGGATGCCTTAGAAGGAGTACGAGAATCATTTCCAGAAGCAATGCCATTTCTTAATTTGTTGTGTTCATCTAAGACAACTTTACGAAATTTAAATATTTTGTCCAATTCGACTTCCGTACGTCCTCCTCTTCGTGCACAATCACAACCCGTGTGTTTTTTAGTCTTACAAAAGATGTTACAATAATTTTTTTTTCTGGGATCAAACGTTACTACATTCGTGAATGTTAAATATGCCACAATAAATAAAATAGTTTTAATGAACATTCCAAAAATATGACTTTAATGTAAAAAGAGAAATAGAAACGTCATTCACTTCTGCATAGGCCACTAGAAACTTTTGAGCTTTTATTTTTTAATTATGGTACGATTAAACCTCAGTTAAAATTTAACTGTTCAATTGTTGCTAAGGTAGCGCTTCTCTGATTGGTGTTGCTATGATTTAACAGAGGTTTAAATTTATCTCTCCGTTAATAAGTTTGCAGAAACCGGGCCTAAATATGGATATTGAAAAATATACATGTCATTTGTGGATTTAGGATTTGTTAAAATTTCTTTGCTTTCAGTCAGGTGGATATACTTGCACTCACTTATTTATTACGCGAAAATAAAGGTTTTTTTTTACTGTCGACTTGCAGGAATTTTACTGATTGCGCCAATTAAGTTTGTGAAAGAAACAGAGAATTTATTACTGCAAGATGACACACTGAATTTTTATAAATTTCTCCTATCATTCGATTGCTTTAAATTCCTTGAATAATTTCTTTAATAGCCTTCTAACTTGTCCAGTGTGGCACTTTTGTGGCATCCCTTTCCACCCCCTGGCCTCGTTCCATCTATCGGTGGTGCTAATTAATCATTCCTGAGCATTGAGAGCGTTTCCCTGTCGAGGTTATTTATCATCGTAAGGGTGTCGGCGGAGGGGTGAAACGAACCAACATTGTAGGACGTGTGAGCGGGCGGACGGGGCGAAGGGACTACGTCCCTGGTCCAGGGTAATTACCCGGATGCTGAAGCCCCGCCCGACCAATGGCAGGCCGAGCCACCCTCGTGTTGTTACCGATCGATTCGGGAGCACGCATGCGTCCAGCCGGACACTGGCCAGCTGGACACCCCTCCGAAGGGTCGGGCACGGGCCGGGGGCGCCCTCGGCCCTAAGGTCAAAGGGTCATTCTACCTGAAACAGGGACATGTGTATGTACACATGCGACGCCACCACTTTATGACATTTCGAACGAAACTGGAACCACGGCATGCATTGTTGCCTCAATTAGAAGCCTTGTCATTTTTTATATTTAACTGGGGCTGTGAGAGGCGAAAATTGCTCATGAACCGTTAATTAATAAAAAATAATTTTGTCATTTTATCACCTCAAAAATTCTTCGTGTAAATGTGTAGGTATATCCTCTGAATTGCAAATATAAAAATCTGATACCACATTATACAAAAATCTTATTTAACTGTCGACGGTAACGCTTTTAAAACAAACAGGAGGCAGATTCTCGTTGTATAGTAGGATCGATGAATTGAGATAAAAAATTTGATTTTAGATTCTTTTTTATTCTTTTGTGCTACTGTAAACCTGGCTTTTTGTCACATTTATCGGGTCTTTGTTTGTTTTTTTAAATAGAACGTTGAAAATGAATTAAAGAGCGATGAAATAATTAAAGGAATTTGAGATAAATGATGATGAAGACAAATGTAATAAATTTCCGAGTGTTTGTGAACTTGAAAAAACTTGTGAAATTGCTAAAGAGTTTATTTCCAGAGCGATTATACTCAAATAAAGGTTGTAAGGTGAGATGTTTTAAGACGCAACAAATTAAAATTTCTGTCGGATCGACGTTCACTTTTGGAATTTTAATACCAGTAAAGATTGATTTTAATTAAATTATTAGGGAGGAAATTTGATATTGGTTTAAGAAAAGTAATTACAAGCACCTTAGATTCTATTTAATATTACTGATAGTAGGTATGTTACTTTTTACTTTACCAAACTGAGAGGTATGTTTTAGTGCCAGTACTATTAAAATATTAAAAAAAAAAAAGTTTAAAAAATAGTTTGGAAGTGATCTAATTTAAATTATTATGTTTATTCTTTATTAAGTAAACGAAAAAGGTGTACACGTTCTTATTTATTTATTGTTTTTAACGTAAAATTTAGAATTCGAGAAACAGTGAGAAGTGAGATATTTGGTGCTTTTCCTCTGTGTCCTGGCTTGTTTCTGGTTTGGAGTCCGATGTTGTCGGACATTGTGGTGAATCTTTCGTTTTTTGTGTCCCATTTCCAGGTAGTTTCTGTTCCGGTCGTCGGGTAATATATAACAGTTGCTTTAAAAATTTGCATACAATCCAGCTGTACTTTACCTGAACCGAATTAACAAAAAAAAGGGTTTTGATGATTAGAGAGGCCGGGCGTTACCGAATGCACGTTACAGATGTTCCGTCGAGATAACCGACAGACTGTAGAGAACTCGAACAACTTTACCCCATGCAGATCACAGTCTGAACACTGAATTATATATGCGCGGTGCGAGTATATAATTTGGTTACAACATTTGCATATGGCGGCCGTGGTTCCAGACTAGAATTTGCACTAACATCACGTCACACGAACTAAAGGGATCCAATCAAAAATCGAGAGAAATCTTAATAGAATTTTATACTAAAACACCAGACTCCACTCGAGGGGTTTCGAGAAATTGAATAAAAAATCCAATTGTAGTTTTAAGTATAGTTTATTGATTTGTATACAAGGGTGAAAGGAAAATTAACATTCAAACAACCCTAAAAACATTTTTTTAATATTCGGTCCGGATTGTCCACTTCTGGCAAACGCCCTAAGAATAAAAGTAAACTAATCAAAATCTGGTTAGGCGAGTGTTTCTGGAGGGTCTCGTGTCGGAATGACCGTGCACTCTTCGCTCGAATGAACCTTGGGCAAATATTATGGGAAAACAGGGTGTGGACTTGGGGCGTGCCACGCTGGACATTGCTTGATTTATGGCTGACCGGCGCTCACGCTAAACGTCATATAATTAGCCGAAAATGGACTCGTGCTGGGCTGGACATCGGTCACTACGAGTTTTCCTTCCGAATGATTTACTCTGCACACAAGGCCAGCGAACTGGAAAACTTATCACAGCGCGAAGATTTTAATTGAGTTATGAAGAGAGGAAAGCGGTTGAGCGTTCAGTGGCTTTCTGATAACATTGTCCAACATTAAAATCCTCATTTAGACGAAAAGGGATGAACTTTAGTTTTTTGGGGTCCTGAAAACCGTCTTAATCATATTTACGGTTACAGTTACGGTTCTGAAAAAAATTACAATCCATTTCATTTACAACAAATGTAATTTTCGATCTCAAGATTCTCAAGTCGTGTCCTTGTTTGAAACTATTATTTGTATGTGGGCTAAGTGCGGCTCTGTTCGTTTTTCCGTTGAGACAGTGAGTGGCGTCGTTCGTGCTTGAGCTTCACGTTCGTTGCCCGGAAGATAGCCGAGGGCCCGGATTTGCCCGCAGCCATGACGCGATGTCAAGTTTGACGCGAACGCGGCGGGCTTCAAACGCGGCTAATGGCTCGTCTTTGTCACGGGAAAGGGCGTCGACCAGACGAGTGGATCTCCATGTTTCGTGTGGAAGAAAAGCAACAGTTACAAGGACTGCTGCACGGAGTCTCCGGGGCCCGCGGCCTCGAAATACACTGATGGATGACTCCACATATAGATCAATACATCCAGTGGCACGCATGAACAACCTGAGCCCACCCGCTAATAAGTTATTTACACGTCACGTGTACCTGACAATGTGTAATCCATCAAACAGAGCGCTCTGCTAACAACACCAGGATGGAGGACGATAACCGACGAGCAGTCATTCATCCTCTTCAACTCCGTAAATGCACTTACTTTACGCGTCAAAAACTAATATCGAAGGCTTTAAATGCGGGAGGATCACCCGGATACAAGTTTTGGACGATCGCTCATCCTGTCAATAAATCCAAATGTAATGGCTGTATTACTAGGTGCGCTACTTGAGCCGGAACGCAATGAGTGGAGGAGTTGCTCACATAACCCGCGATTTTCATCATAAATAGAGACTTGTACGAGAATTCCACTTATCCAATTCGATCAATACACGTGTTTGACATACTAGGTGAATAAAAAGTATGGGACCAAACGTTTTTTGCTTAAACTATTTATTTTTTGTAAAAACTAATTGATGAATGGTAAAGTACTACAGAGTGGTTATAAATGATTTCATCTAGCCAGCTTTAGAATTTTTTTGCATAAAACTTTATTTGTGCCGCTCTACTTTTTTGAAAGCTCTAGTTCCGTCATTAGTGTCACTTATTAATTAGTAATAATTTGTTGTTAAACTTTTATTGTTTCAGCCAATTTCCAATAATAATTGATAATAATATATACTTTGGAAGAAAACAAGTTTATAATTGAAGTCTATTTTCGAAGTGGACGCTTAGTAAACGGCGATTTTTTAATTTTGAGTTAAAACAAGTAGGTACCCCTTTCTTCGTAAAGCGGTACATGGAAAATTCACAGGTGGCTAGATGAAGATCATTTATAACCACTTTGTATAAAAATACGATGTTTTATGAAGAATAAAATTTTTCGAAATTTTCTTTTGTTTTTGAGTTCTACAAAATTTTTAATTTTTTTAAATGGCAAACACTTTATAAAACCATTTTTCTCATGAAGGTTATAATTTCAGGATTATGTACAACTATATACTTTATATTTAATTACAAAAAAAAAATACATAAATTGCAATTTTGACAAAAAAAAATCGCATAATTAGAAAACAAAAAAAATTTTGTTCGCAATATACAATCACTTTTTTTATATTACCTACTTTATACAGTGCGATCAAAAACATCCTAAAATGAGATGTAGTTGGTGTTTATTCAGAAAAATCGTTCACCACAATTGACTGTTACAGTTTACATAAAAATTATTTTGACAATACTTATTTGTCATTGTGACATTTTATCTTCCACAGACACACGTTTTAAATTTCTAGGCTTACTTGGTAGACAGACTTTTTGATCGCACTGTACTACACTGACCGGCATAATTATCGCATCACTTAAATTTTAAGATTTAAAATGGCTAAATGGTTCTGAAATAGTACTAAAATTGATGATATAGGATAGTAACATTATCAAGTAACTCAGTCGACTATGGATTTTTTTTAAACAATTGGTGTAGATTCATTGTTTACTAAATAAATGTTAAATTATCAAAATCACCTCTAATTTTCGAGAGACAACAATTAAAAACTGAGCTTCAAACTGTTGATGCGTCTGTTTTTTTGATATGATTCCTGTGACAATCACAGAGTTTTCAGTGAATTGAATATGAGCATTAATTCATACTTTGACAATAATTAATTTCAAATTATTTTTAAAGGAGCTTTTGGGAGTTGCGAAGTTCAGAATTACGGTATCTATTCGTACTATACTTCGTGACTCACCCTGTATCTATCTACAGAAATGCGTACTATTAACGAGGAACGCTCTCTTCCATCATCTCAAAAATGTTTAAAAATTTTGCTCGAACTCGAACTCGAGTTTCTGCAATTTTGACACTGATGACTGCAAAAACTTTCTTGACTATTATTTTATTATTTTTGGGTGTGATTTTAACAGTCTCCAAGTTATTTGATTTTTAGTTACTAAATTATTAAATCTAACACCAATTTGTAAACACCAAACTATTTCAAAGCAATTTTCCGTAAAATATCTGTAATCACAACACATTTGATTTTTTTTTGACAAATTGGACTAACTTATTATTAGAAATTGTCACAAATATTTGTGGTTTCTCATTTCTTAACACATCTTCAGCAAATCTTATTTGAAACTACAGCTGAATCATTTTATTTTCTTATACTTTTTCGAGCTCCATCATGGGGATCTCAATTATTATAAGAGATACGAGGTCGGTTAAATTAGGACAACGTTGCGCATTTTTATGCTGAAGAATCATCTGAAAGAAAATTTAATGTGTCATGTTTAGTTTTTGAATTATTGAAAAAAAAACGGTAATTTGTAATTTTCGTTTTTATTTTTTTCAAGCGAAAACTAAAAGAACTATAGACGTTTTTATCTAGGACGTTTTTAAAGCACTTTCTTACAGGGAATCTAAATCTGTCATCGTATTTTCCAAGGCGCTCTTGATATCAGAGTTACAACACACGATGTGATCAAGTTTTACATGCTGATCAAAATTAAGAAAAAACGTTTTTGCGAAGAGTGCTTTGGAGAAAACGCCAACATTTTTAATTAACAAGCAAAATTTTGATAGTTTAATTGAATTTGGATATGGAAGTCACATTTCCGTCAAGCTTACCTACTTAAAAACATATATTTTGAAATAGGAACAACGTAATAAACTAGAATTTATTCTTCGCAAAATAAAACAATACAAAGATGCGAATCCACCAGCTCCAAAATTTAGTTTATAAATTAAAATTGTTGTTGTTTTTCCAAAGCACTCTTTGCAAAAACGCTTTTTCTTAATTTTGATTAGCATGTAAAACTTGATTATATCATATACATGATACATCGTTGTAATCAGGAACAAAAAGACTTTTCAAAAATACAGAAATCAAATATGGGGTCCATAAGAAAATCCAATGTTGAGTGTTGTAACTCTGATATCAAGAGCGTCTTGGAAAATACGAAGGCAGATTTAGATTCCCTATAAAAAAGTGCCTTAAGAACGTTTTAGTTAGAAACGTCTAGGTCTTTTACTTTTCGCTTGAAAAAATAAAAACAAAAATTACAAATTTCCGTTCTTTCCCAATAATTTAAAAACTAAATATGACACATTAAATTTTCTTTCAGATTACTGTTCAGCATAAAAATGCGCAACTTTGTCCTAATTCAACAGACCTCGTATCTCTTATAATAACTGAGATCCATCCCCATGGTGAAGCTCTAAAAACGAACATCTTGTAGAACCTTCACTTACTATAATTGGTTCTAACATTGCTTTTTATTATTGTCTACTTATTGTCAAGTAATCTGGTATTATGGGCAAAATAAAAGAAAAAAAATATTATTATTATGTAAATGTTGTTTTTAATTGGTATAAAATTAATAAAATTGTGAGAAAGGGAGTGATGAAACAAACGAACTATATGATTTTATATACTTTGTTTATTTTTTCTGTTTTTTATTAATTATATTTTTAGGTGTTACAAATATTTGTTGTTGCTGATTGGAAGATATTTACTCAACGCTTATTGAGTGCAATTTTCTGTAGAATAATAATTATATCCGATTTATTAATTTTATAAAGAAGTATATTTACACGCATATTTTACTAAAGCTTACATTCTTTAGGAAACAATAATTAAAACGTGATACATGTATACTTATGTTATATGTACTTATATATACTTACTTATGACCGTGATCTTTACTCGTTCAAAAATAAAAATAAATTATTAAAAGCAGCACCCTCTTTGATGACGTCACAATCCCGATTCTCCAATTCTTTCCCTTCGTTATAAAATTTGATGCATGTTTTTTTTATCGCCGGGTAACAAGGAAGATGTTATATTCCCGGACGTGATTCACGTCTTCAGAGGATGATGGCGGGCCATATCGTGAATAATTCCACGTACGGTCACCAGGGACACTTTAGACACACACTGTATCTAATGCCGGAGATAAGGCCGTAATAATCCTGGGGGAACTCCGGATAATGGCCGAGACTCCACCCCACACCCTCACTATGGTCATTTTCTACGCCCTACAACAAAATGGAAGCAAGTCAATCAATAGTAAACTACAAATATTTGTTTAAATTATAAATAAAGGACTTTTATAACAAGTTAGTTTGAATTCAAAGTGTATGTTCGGTGGTGAATGTCGGTTACTCCGTGTGAAATCTATTGAATTGAATAATCTATAATTTATTTGGTGTGCGGAGGTATAATAAAATAACCGATCGAGTGTCGTGCGAGTCTTTAAGATGTTGCATATGCAGCACCCCGATATTTCACCCTCCGATCTATTCAATACTTTTGCATACGTTTCCGGTGATTGGTTTCAATGGTACAGGTAACGGGATAATGCATATTCAATTTTTCACACGAAGATTTGCCCATCGATCGGGGAGCAAAGGGTTGAAGGGTTTAATTAATAATTCTGTGCGATACAACACGTTGAATGCCAGATGAAGTTACCGATCGTTGGTGTGGGAGGGCGTTGGGCTTGATTCCGGGCCCTTTATGAGGGGTCCCCTTGTACTTACGTCTTCTGAATAATAAGAAGCTCGACGCTCGGGACTAAAGTAAAATATCACAAACCTAAAACGTTAGCTGCACGTGACCCGGCGATTGATTTTATTTTATGCGAGGAAAACATGTAGTCGGAAAAGCTTCCGCCTCCCCTCAAATTGAAAAGCGGCCAGGACCGGAATAGTGTTGTTGAAAATTAATTATGTTTTCTACGGGAGCGACCCTTGATTTGGCCTAACTGGATTTATTTCGCGGAATAAAAAGAACTAGCCGAGCGTTGGAAAATTGTCTACCTGGGGTTTGCACTATGGATTTGCGCATATTCGCACCTAGACTCCGAATAAGTACGTTTTACATGAAACCGAGTTATTTGAGACATAATCGGATATAAAGTTGACTTGATTTTAGACGGATTGAGATGTGAATATGTCAGGCGGTTCATGCACGCGACAAGGATTCGATTTAAACGTAAATATAATTTGTCGACAGATATGTATGGAAATATCGAGGCACATGAAACGCGTCAACAACTTTATTTGATACTTTGTTTCCATGTTTCTCACAGATGACAACTTTATTGCATATTCTCTACATGTGTTCGCATTAAAGTTTTCAACTGCGCCGTTTGATTTGAATTTTTCAACAAACCTATTCCCTTACAGGAAATGACGGCATACTGCCGACTCCAAACAGATTGATCCATCTCGAAAAATTTTACAAATAAATACATAAAATTCGCTAAACCATCCATAAAATCAAAACATAGTTTACAAGATTAATGTTATGCTTTCGAATCGCATAGTTATGAGCCATTTGTCAACATACAAAGGGGCAAATCCTCACCTTATTAGTAATTTTCGGTACTTTATTCAAGTATTAATTATTAACGATGCTGTTAGTGAAAGGACGTCCTAATCTACAGTGTTAAAATTTAATTTTAAGAGCCACTTTCAGTTGTTAAGTCCGTGATGGAGACAATTAATTACTGGATCGTCTGGGTTAAATTGGGGCTATATGAAGTTGAATGTTATAATAATTAATGGTAAAATACGTAAGTCGAAAGGGAAACATGTTTGTTTGAATTAAAAATGACTGCATAATTAGAATCTTCTATAATTTTGGGTAACAAGGTAAGTTTTTAAAAGATTAAGTTAATCTTCGGTAATGCTTTTATTATTTCTAGCTAATGCAAAAATGAGGAAAATGTGCAGATACTCCTATTAATAACAATGATAATAATAAATGCAATTTTGAATTTTATACACATAAAAATGTATATTTATACCCAGTGAGGAAAAGACACTGTCCTCTAGTGTAATTCATACAGGGTGCACCAGAACTCGCACCCCAGAGAAAAATGTAAGTTAAGATACCAGGAACATGGAGAAAATGTTAAAAAAAATCTATTTATAAAAATTTTGAATTTATGGGAGTTCAAATTTTACATCTTGATTCTATTTACTTTTGTTGGAAAAATAATTTTCCAAGTTTTTTTGCCACAGGCTTTTTAGAAGAGGTAACAAGGAAGCTGTATCCTAAGCTGTAACTCAGTTTAGTGTTATTTGTGGCTTTTATTGGCAAAATTTTTGTATCTTTACTAAATAATTAAAAAAGTCAAATATCAAAAAATATTTGTAAAAATTTTTTGACAGATAGAATTTTTTAAACATTTTTTCCATGTTCTTGGTATCTTATATTACTTCAATTTTTTCTCTGGAGCGCGAGTTCTGACACCCTGTGGAATTTTTCCTATTATGCTACAAGAAAATCTTCAAAACTAACAATTTTTCTTGATAACTTCAGTTTCGTCATTAAATCTAGTAGTATGTTTTTCCGTTTCAATGGGGGAGGTAAAATTTTTACCTCCCTGAGAGGTTACATAATTATATTTTTATTGTAATTTTGACATATTATGAGGGAGGAAAAGGTTTACCTCCCAGTGAGATAATTGGTCATTTTTCTTTCTGAAATTAGGGTGGAAAATCTACTTTTTGTTAGAGTAGAAGGAAAAAATATTTATTTGTTTATTTAGTTTAAAGGTAATACCTACATGAAAAAATTAGGGTTTTAAAGAATTTATTCTAACTTAATTCTAATCACTTTTTTCCAAATTGAATTTTTGATTTGGTTCTGTACCTAAATCAGTCTAAGCTCACAATGAAATTCGTCTATGTAATTTCTCTTCAGTTACTTTTATTACATCTGTAGCAACAGTAAAAATTTAAGTTGTCATATTCAAAAAATTAGTTTTGTAAGGGGGAATAACTGATATGAAATCTCAAGGAAAGCTTTAGTTTGGTTAAAACATCTCCCTTCGATCCGTAATTGCAAAACTTCCCTCTGCTTTGCATCCCGATTTTTACGTCCTAACTACTCCGTGTGAAACAAAATTCGAGCATTTGAAATTTCCTCTCTGGTAGAACGCAAACCGTCCCGTGATGTTATCTCGATCGAAAATTGAATTAACGCCGATGTCAGAAGCTTTGAAATAAACTCATTGAAAAAGTTTCACAGCGCGAATCGTTACAGAATACAATATAACCGCAAATGATGGCAGGATAGTAGCTCGATGCCACGGCGTATAATCCATCATGTGTGTTTCAATGGGATGAGTATTTAATCCCGTCATTGTGTGAAGCGGCTCAATTCGGTATAGGACCAAGTAATAAAAAAGTAATAGTAAACATGGGTAAAAAGTAAAGGGGCGACTTTGAGTGCTTGCTACCTGCGAAATTTATAAACTTCGAATATTATCGGAGATTGAAAAGCTATACAAACACACCTTCAAACTTGACTTATTGATTGTAAACAAAGAAGAGATTAGATGCGCATTCTACAGGTTAGCTTTTATTTTATAATTATTGTTTGTTCGTGCGCCGTCAAGTTTTTAGACGGAGTTTTAAATTTCTGACGAACAATCTCAAAGATAAACTCCAGCCTGTTTTCAGGTTAGTAGCAGATTTTTCGCACGATTAAGCAAATTGTCGCTCCCGGTGATTGAGATGGTGTAAGATCTTCCTCAGATTTTGCCTAATTATTTCCTTTATAAGTCGATCATGCCCTAGGTCAGGCTTTACCTTGATTTTTTTTTTTTAATTTTGCAGATGATTTATTCACATTATGGAATCTGATTGCGAAGTTTTTGTACAGAAAGCCATTTTCTTTAATTGATTTATTTATTATTAGTTTATTTTTTCGGCATCATCTGGAGCATCTGATCGGCACAAAGCCGATTTGAATTTATGTTTTTCGGCTTTTATGGTTTGTGTGCGCACTGGGTGTGCCAAAACCATCAATTCTTCATTGATAACCGTTCAGTTATGACAGTCGCATTCGTGTCCGTGAATACATCTAGTTAAGCATTCATACACGTTAACAAAGCGAGAATCTCATATATTAAAATGGGCCCCTTAGTTGTTCCGGCAAATAAGGGGAATTTTGCATATTATGCCATCCGGACAGATCCGCAACAATGTGTATCCGGGCTCCCTTTTTTGCATAGTTTTTTTAACCCTTTCCCACCCCATAATAATATATGCTCGTCACCCCAAGTCTGTCTTCAGGGTGTTTTTCATTGTGTTCAGGTAACCCTTCACCCCAGAATATGACACCATTCTATTATTTAAACGCACAAAAAAAATGCACCAAACGAACTGTGTCAAGATTCTTCGTACGCGACCCTGACCTTTTTGCATCAATTATACGCCGAAATTTTACACCGGGGACGGTTAAAGCTTCGCAAAGCCTCCGCAATCGCCTGATTTTAATCTACTAGATTTTTCCATTATGAGTTAGTTGATGTTTTCGCTGGTTGAGAGTATGCAAATTCGGGGGAAACATTTATGTGTTTACATTACTCTGAGGCGGATGTCACATGTGTCGCGTCACAGTCTAACTCACCCCGAAATATTGGGGGCGGCCGCCTCTGCCCCCGGCGAGTGTGAGGTAATGTCCGCAAAACTAGAGATAGGCGCGTTATCGAGACCCGATTTTAATAATTCCTCTTGTTTCACCCTACATTTGCATAATTTACGATGCATTAAGTAATGGATTCGAGGGAGAATTAGAGCGACATACCTAAACATTGTTAATTCAATTCGGATGAAGTGTCGGTACAATTACAGAACGTGTCAGGTGGGGAAATTTGTCGCGATTTTTTCACTGCTTGGCACAC